GAGATACACAGACATGCTGGTTGCTCGAAAAAGTCAAGAATGATCTATATCATGGCTTACTCTTATTATGTTTTATCTCGTGTTTTATCCAACGACAGGACTCTAATCTTTATGATAAATTGATTATAATTGGTGACTTTACAACGTTGCTTCATGAGTGGAAATGAAAGATTATTTTTGCAGTATTGCAGTATCATTGCAGAGAAAATAGTGTTGTTGAGATTGAGATAGTTGATGAATTGATGAATTACAAAAATATATCGCGTTCCAGTTACGAATGTTGGAAATATTATCCAGGTATATTTCAGATCCATGTTCGGCCTCTCATGAAAATCAGAATTAATTTTTATGGACTTCGATATTTGAAGTCACGTTTATTTGCAAATCTGAGGAGCAAAGTGTTGATAATTGTCACTGAATCCGAAAAAACCATCCAGTCACGACGAATCGAACAAAGAATCCGCAAAGAAAAATGGCCAGAGAATGCTTTAAGTACAGAATTCAGATCCTTATATTTGTACGGAAAGCGATATATTGATATCCTTTCCAGATTCTCAAGAAAACAGATCAGACAGATATTCACCTTTATCTCTATGGAAACACGAAGAGTATCAACTCGGCGTTTATAAACCCTCTCTGCAAAGGAGGTAGACGCATGGTGGGTTAGGTATATAGTGTTCTTCATTGCAGAGAAAATTGTTGTTCATCTGCCTGTCTCGTCTTCATTGAAATAGTTGATGAATTGATGAATGACAAAAATATATCGCGTTCCAGTTATGAATGTTGAAAACAATATCCAGACACCCCATAGATTCATATTCAATGTTAGCTCTCACGATTCAAATTTGAAATTGATACTTAGTTTTAGATCTGAGCAGCACATTGTTTGGCCTTCAAGGTTATAAATATAACCCACGTTATTGAACATGTGGAAGATGCCTACTGGAAAAACCACTTTACAGAAAGAAAGCGGATATGTAGCAATTTAGTTACGGACGTTGAAAATATTATTCAGGTATGTCTCAGATTCAACATCCATGTACTTCATCAAATGATATTCATTTTCTGATTTGAATGTATTTCGATTAATATGTAGCAATCCAGTTACGAACGATGAAATTATCATTCAGGTATGTCTCAGATTCAACATCCATGTACTTCATCTTATGATATTGATTTTCTGATTCAAATGTATTTCGATTACTTTGTGATGTTTAGTTGCAGATCCGAAAAGCAGTTATTCGATACTTGCCACTCAATCGAAGAAAACCATCCAGTAAATATACGGACCGAGCAGAAGATCCGCAAAGAGAACTGACCAGAGTATACTTTATAGAATTCAGATCATTATATTCGTACGGAAGGCGATATATTGATTACGTTTCCAGATTCTCGAGCAGACAGATAGACAGATATTCAGCTTTATGTCTCTATGGGAACACGACAGGTACCCTTACGAGGGAAGAGTATCAACTCGGCGTTTATAAACCCTCTCTGCAAAGGAGGTAGACGCATGGTGGGTTAGGTATATACAGTGTTCTTCATTGCAGAGAAAATTGTTGTTTATCTGCCTTTCTCGTCTTCATTGAGATAGTTGATGAATTGATAAATCACAAAAATATATCGCGTTCCAGTTACGAATGTTGAAAACAATATCCAATATTTTATGTAGGTCTCACGATTCAAATTTGAAATTGATCCTTAGTTTTAGATCCGAGCAGCACATCGTTTGGCCTTCAATAAGGCCCCTTATATAACCTACGCACGTAATTGAAAATGTGGAAGATGCCTACTGGAAAAAACACTATTCGGAAAGAAAGCGGATATGTAGCAATCCAGTTACAAACGTTGAGAATATTATTCAGGGATCTCTCAGATTCAACATCCATGTATAATTCTTCTAATGATATTTATTTTCTGATATGAATGTACTTCGATTGATATGTGATGTTCTGTTGCAGATCAGAGAAACAGTATTTGATACTTGCCACTCAATCGGAGAAAACCATCCAGTCCATACGAACCAAACAGAAGATTCACAAAGTGAACTGACCAGAGTATACTTATGGTGACTAGTTATGTTATATATTTGGTATATTATGATTTGATAGTCAACTTAAAGTCTTATAATTTGTATCAATTGTATCCACAATTTGCGGTGACCCCGACGTGATATTATGGAGCAGTTGAGCGAAGGCGAGATCATACAAATTTCAACATCCATGTTAGTGATTCAATGGAATTTTCCGATATGAAGGAAATGCTGACAGAGAACTTAAAAAAAAATTATAAGGACCAATTCCACGAAGCCGACTACAGGAGCATTCTTTCAGAGATTTCATCAGGAATCATAACTTTTTTTACGAAGAAGATCGATAGACTTGAAAAATTGTGCGAAATCCTGATCGGAAAAACATCGTGAAAGTTCAACATTTCCATACAAAATCATGCCTCATGACATCATCTCCTCAGAAGACACATCAACTGGACATTCCAAGAAAGAACAATTAACGTACCAACTCTCTAAACTCTATAACGAGAGGATTGTTCAACTATATCTTGGTATAGTTGAATCAAGAATTCCATATGATAATAATAATAATAATAATAATTTTATTGCTTCTAAAACAAGTTTACAGCAAGAGTTGTATGGTGTTTGAAAAATAACATCAAAATTAGAGTGAGAAAAAATACTATTTAAACAATGAAGATTGAATGAAAATTTGCCAACGCAGTGGATTATTCATTCATGACGAGACAATGGACATCATCAAATCAATATACCTACTTAATATCATTCACTGATTATGAATGAACGTAACCTGAGAATATTCCATATATACTCAGAAATTTCTTTGGCTACAGAAATTGTTGGATTTTCTAATGCGTTGATGAGTGCTTCCACATTCTGAAGGCACTGTTTATGTTTCATTACAGTATAAATCGGGCATTCAAAAATAATATGGAATAAGGTTTCTTTTTCGTTTCTGTTGCAAACAGAACATATTAGATCTGGGTCGATCGAATATACAATTCCGTTAAATGTGAACTTGATTCTAAAATGATTGGACATGCGCAATTGTGCAAGAGTGCGGGTAATCTGTATGGGTAACTTCAACAGTAAATATGTACTTGGTTCCTTTGAAGTGCCCAAAGCATTGTATATGTTCATGAAGGGGTAACGAGATGCTATGTTAACATCGCTGTCAAACAAATAGTTGTAATATTTATCCAGTATCTTTTTCTTATTTGCAATCAAAGTTTGAGCATTCAAAGTATTCCAAAATTCTTGAGATCCGCTATCAGTAAAAAGTTGTTTAATTTGAAGTGCCCAATTATATTTTGATTCCGTAGAGCTTATTAATCTTACTTGATGTTGAAAACACAGTCTTGGATAACGGTTATCTTCCATTGTAAAAATCTTATGCAACCAGTTTAGTGTGATTTTGTATATGTTATATGATAACTTAACTCTTCCAGTTTCCAAACGGATAATAGCATCAGGTGTGTTGATGGGCACCAATAAAATTCTTTTAAGGAAACTAAGATGTACTCTTTCTAATACCTCCATGTATCTAATACCCCACACTGAAACAGAATTGAACATAACACTCATGGCTAATGACTCGAATAATTTCATTCGTGGATACCAGGTGTCAATTTTAGATTTAGCTAGAATGGGCAGTAGCGTATGGAAATAACGTATGATACGCCTATGACATGAAAAACAACAAATGTCAAAAATCTAGTGTTTATGGGTTGCGTGCAAGAACTGTCAGGTGACCGACCCTGGAGGAACAACATTGAAACACAACCTCACTTTTCTTATTTGTTTACAAGTGATTGAAATAGTTTTTCACAATTATTTTGGCATACAAATCGTATTTTTCGGCGATTCAACAATTTGTTCATGCCATCACATTGTGCTGTTGTACAATGCACAAAAACTGCAGCAGAAGACGAAGGAATCCTGTTGGTACATTATAATTTAAAAGTAGGTACCAAAGTACCTACTAGTCGCACTACAATTTTAACTATGTGAGATTACCATTTACCTGAAAAATCATATTCCTTCGTCTCTCGCTGCATTTTTTGTGCATTGTACAACAGCACAATGCGAAGGCATGCTTGAATTAATGAATAGCGCAAAAGAAACACGATTCGTATGCCAAAATATTGGGAAAACTATTTCAATCCTTTGATTCCTCTGTAACCAAATAAAAAAGTGAGGTTGTGTTCCAATATTTCACCTCCAGGGTCGGTCATCGTGCACGCGACAGTCGCGACCAGAATTTTCACAAACACTTTAGAGTGAGAGGAGACGAGGATCTGTCTGGTCCGTACCCTGTTAAGATAGTTGCGTTTTATTTATCCGATTCCGCCACCGGAATCAGTTTGATGTGTCGTTTTATTTGCAATTTTTCCGATTTCGGTTGCTACTTTCCATTCCGTCTCCCTACAAGGAATGATGTGGAATGACTGTTGACAGGTGTCACAAAATCTTTTTAGATTTACGAGAAACGAACCTTTCTAAAAGTAAAAGACATTTAGACGACATTTTCAGCGTGAGTTTCACTAGTTCATGATTCTTTCAAGTACGACAGGTTTCATATGTTCATTCCCAGATAAAATAAACCCTGTCGATCTCAGAGAAGTTTCTTCAATCACCACAATCACTGCTCCAAATATAAGTGTATTCATTTTCTAGATTCCCAACTCTATATAGTATTATGCTTTTGATATTATTTGGATCTCCCATTTACAAATATAACCTCCTATGTAAATTCTCTCAAGCAAGGTTATGAAGTTTCTCGTTTTATTTGTGAACGTCATTCTGTTCCCACCACCGCTACCAGAATGGGATAAATAAAACGCAACTGATGACTTTAACCTTAGATACTTTAACCTTTAACAGTTCATTGTCAATTTCCATCAAGGGACTCTTATGAGTTCTGTGGGCCCGAGACGTTTGTGATGTTTATTATTTATGTTTCCTGTCCTGACTGTAGACGTTTTTCGATGACGTTTAGACATAAGGGTTTGACTTTTGACTTTCCCTGTCTTGTCTTATGTCAGTTATGTCTATTGTCTTTGTCTATTCCTTCCACCAAAACCAAACCTTTTCTCAGTTTTCTCCCCAGTTCCGAATTTTCTAATTTTTGATTTCTTAATGTTTTCCTGATCTTGGTGTGTTGAAATTTCGCATTATCACATTCCTGATCAAAATGCCGAAGGTAAAACAAACAAGAAAAAGAAAACACGAATCCAAAACCACCGAAAAGTTATTAGAGGAAAAGGAATATGAAATCGATGTACCTAAAAGCAAATTCAGGCCCTTTGATGAGAAAGCACAAGCAGAGGAGGAGCACTTATCACACATCCTCTTTGGAGGTACCAGCTTTCTCAAATGCTTGGAAGAAGCTGAACAGGAAGCAGGACAATCACAAGCCAATGTAGATTCTGGTGTTGGTGAAGATGATAGCAGTGAGAACGATGAAAATGCACGAAAGCCAGCCTGGACTGATGAAGATGATGATGGAATTGAAGTTGGACAAGCACTAGATGCCCAAAGAAGAAAGCTACCTAATGGAGGCATCAACAGTCAAAACAGCAAGTACTCCAAACTACTCAAGCACAAGTTTCAGTCAGTTGTTGGTAATCCAAAGTGGGCTTCTTTGAATAAGAGAAAGCACTCTGAATCCGACTCTGAGGAAGAGATTCTTCAACATTGTGGGTTCATTAAGAAAACTGCCAAAGCTCTTATACCACCAAGTGTGCTAGAGTTCAAAAAAGTTAAAGATTTAAACTGTGAGACCTACTCCGAAGGACCTTATATCAACTCCATTGAATTTCATCCTACATCTACTGTTGCCCTAGTGACTGGAAATGCAGGGATAGCTTCATTGTTTTCTGTGGATGGTAAAAGGAATAACAAACTTCACAGTGTTGCATTTGATAGATACCCAATTATTTGTGCTAAATTCTGTCAAAATGGCAATGAGGCAATACTTGGTTCCAGGCAATCTCATATATTTAGTTATGACTTACTTGCTGCCAAGCACACAAGAATTAATCTTCCACCAGGGCTCACACAGTTCAAAAACTTTGTCATTTCTCCAGATTATCAGTTTATTGCTGCTGCTGGTAAATGGGGAGAGGTGCATTTGTTATCCTCAGGATCAAAAGAACGAATTGCACTCCTAAAACAGGATTCAGAAGTTACAGCTCTTGAATTTAGTCCATCAGGTAAGACTGTTCTAACAATTTGAAAGTAGTTTTTATACCAAGGAAGATATTTTAAGTATCATTTAAATCTTGTGATTTTTTAGGAAAATTACTTTTTGGTCACAGTGTCAGTGGTGAAGTCACAATATGGGACATGAAAATGAAGAGAGTGAAGCACAAATTCATAGATGAAGGATGTCTACAAGGCACCACCTTGTCCATCTCATCTTCTTACCAGTTTCTTGCAGCAGGGTCAGCTCAAGGTGTGGTAAATTTGTACAATATGGAGGATGTTCTGCAATCTAACATACCGAAACCAAGGAAAACTATTCTGAATCTAACTACTTCTGTGGGAGATTTGAAATTCAATAGTTCTTCAGAAATTCTAGGGTTTTCATCTCCAGAGATCCCTAATTCTGTCAAGTTGTACCATGTTGGTTCTGGTACCATTTTCAGTAATTTTCCAAATTTTCAGTCAAAAATGGGCTATATAAATGTTTTGAATTTCTCACCTAATAGTGGGTATGTTGCCTATGGAAATAGAAAATCAATTGTTTCATTGTATAGACTGAAACATTTTAAAAGTTATTAAATTCAGCAAGAGTATATAATTCAGAAATCTTTCATTTATAATAAATTCCAAAATGATGCTTTTTTCCATCCCTTAGTGAACTTTTTCACAGCTCTCAGCACCTTAGCATAGTCACTTGTTCTTATTAGATGACTAGTAACTAATAGTAACCAATCAAAATATTGAATTTGTTTTTTCAATTCATCATTTGTTGATTAGTTTCCATAGAATATAAAATAATTTAGATTATGCTAGAATTATCCACATTCAACCATCAACTCTATGAGCTATTGTAAATCACCCAATTGGAACTTTTAACACTGCCTCCTCAAAGGAAAACCATTTCATTTTGTAAGGTAGGTTTGTGGATGTATTTTTTTTCAATAATCCTTTCATGAAAATATCAATTCAAATAAAAAAAATTTATAGAAAAAAATATTAATTAGGAGTAACTACTATTGGGTGCTTTAGCCTTAGCTCACATAGAAAATAATGATGCATTTGTTCAATAGTCAAGTTAGTTGGCAATGTTGGCATTCAATATGGTGTGATTGATGTAAGTCTTATTTCTGAATAGATTATTTTTTTATGAACTCTGCACAATAGCTTCTTGTAAGTATGTACCTAATTAGTTTATTGATAATTTTGTATGAGTAGTTCTAATTTGATGTGTAATATACAAAGATTTGATTGCTGTAGGTATCATTATAGTGATTATTTTGTGTCTCTTTAATTTATTGGCTATTATTCCAATATCAATAAAAAGGAAAATGTGACTTGAAAAGTTGTATTATTTGGCATTTCTTGTCATCAGTATTTTTGTACAGACATTTTTGTGAAAAATCAACTAAATCTGTAATTGCATCAATTTAGTTGGAGAAGAAAAATACCTATATTACCTATAGGTAACTATAGTGCAATTTTTGTAAAAAACCTACCTACCAAATCTAAATATGAAATTAGTTTCAAAAAGAAATAGTACACTTCATCACTTAGTATACTAATCTGATAATCAAAAGATGTAACCACAGTATTCAAAGGTGACATATATAGTTGATACTATTTACAGGGTGTCCCAGAGAGGACTTCCTCTTTTTCTGTTGGAAATGTATAGGTAGCAATATAGACGCATTATAGATGGGGTCACATTAGGTTAGCAGTCACTATACTTCCTATTACTTGATTATTCCAATCCTGGGACACCCTGTATACCTGAATATAATTAAAAAATTTATAGTATCCGGATGTAACCTCTTGGTTCCTGGGTAATAATATATTATTTATTACCTTGGGGAATAAATTACTTAATCTGATCTGGTATTGACACTTGTTGAAAAAACATAAAACTGGAGACCTTCATTTCCACAAAGTATGCATAAAAATATATGAACTTTAGGAGGTACGAGGTAATTATATGATATATATAGGTACCTAACAGCAAAAATGTCATCCGTGTTGTATAATAATAGCTCATTATGTTCTTGCTATGTTTGGCTGTTTAGTGATCTGATGATGCAATTTTTTTCGGGAAAAGTCCACAAACTTTCGATGGAAATCTGGAAATGGCTGCCAGAAATTCGATATCGACTGGGGCGTCGGTGAAAATCGAATTTCGCGGGCAAGATGACGTGGCCGATGATTGAGCATGTGCCATGTCTATTCCAACAAAGTTCGAAACGCCCGACTCAGCTTCAGAAATGATACTGAGCAAGTTTATTTTCCATTCCATCGAAACTGTCGGAGTTGTAAAATATTTCGCCCCCGAAAGTCCATAAGTTGAAACAGGTTGAGTAGTTTATAGAAGCGCGATTTCAAGTTTTGTTTCATATGCTATTCTGCGTTCGCCTTGTCAACAGCGAACGCGCAGACGCTGGTACGGATGTTTGAGGCATTGATCATGCGCATTTCAGTCTTTAGTTGGGTCTCGGAAAATGGCGTCAGCTAACTTTCTCGAGGAAGCTCTGAGTACAGATGTTGATGAATCTGCCTTTAGTGCGATCGTGGGCTCCTTGGAGAATCAGCTCGTCACTTCTGCACCCCAAGCATCAGGTCAAACAGGTTCAGCCATCGTGATCAACCAGAACCACATAAACAGTGCAATATCAAACGGCGGGACAGTTGCCCCTCAGAAACATGGGACTATCGCCAATGGTGATTCGATAAGTGCTGTGAACACAAACGATGGAAGTAAACAAGTGACGAACAATGCGATGATCATCAGCGGCGCCACAGGAGCGGTGACTACTGGCTATATAAATCAAAGTGCACCTATCCAACAAAACAAACCCAATGAGGGCGTCAAGATAGTGTACTCACAGGGACAAGGCAACCAAGTCATGACCAGCGCCGGGACCATAATCCAAAACAGAGTCACTATACCCACTCAGTCACTGCCCAACGGCGCTATAGGTCTTCCTCCACAGTCTGTCCTCCAGACCAATCCAAATAATGTCCAAACGATACAAAATAAACAACCCACGTTAGTGCTGAAGACTAGCGGGGCCCCTGGCTCCCAGAATCTAATGACTGTCCCCATGAATGTAAATTCTTCAGTGCCCCAGGCTAATAATGTAGGTAGCCCTAGCACACAATCCCCAAATATCCTATCCAACCTCCAGGTAGTCAATGTGCGCCCTGGGGTTCCCACTCAGCAGACGAAAGGGCAACCAGCTCGTGTAGTGCTTAGTGCACCTCAGATAGTTGGGGGGGCCCGCCAAGGAGCTCCTGTAAGTGAATTACCCACCGTTGAATGGGAAGGCTCTGCAACCTTGTACCCTGCACTATTGTTGATTTGCTAACAGTGTAAAGCTTCCTAACTATAGTACATATGATGTGCTCTAACTCTAAAGCCTTCCTATTTGATGGTTTTCAAAATTTGTGTGTGTCTTAAGTATCAATATGCTTGTTTGACAGTTCTTTTTTTGGGAAATCATTTTCAACTCCCTATTAGTATTCTTCAACTGTACCCTGGGTTATTGTAGGTAGCATATATTATTTTATTCTTCTAAAAGTGGGAGGTAGTCAACAAACTGTTGAATCCTCAGTTTTTAGGTTATGCTAGGCTAGATAGAGATAGACACTACACTATGGAGGAACTGTAGTTTATTTATTATGCTCTTTGATATTTTTTAATTATTTCAAACTTATTTCAATTCAAAGATCCTTTGAAGTTTTTGTACACATTGATCCACAAAATCACATGCCAAATTTGTAGAGATCATCCTCTGAATCAATCATATCTAAATTTAGGTTAGGTATATAAACACAAACAGTGAATCCAAATGAATAAATAACCCTACAAAATAACCTTAATTTTGGATCATTGCATCCCAACAAGATTGATTCATAAATTCATCAAAACCATAACACTGTCAAACTTGCATTTAGAAAAATTGAAATTTATTAGTTTTTTGTCTTTGAGTAGGTTATTCTTGAGATATTTCATTTCAAAGTAATAGAATATTATTTTTCTACACTGCTGGTTGTATTTTGTGTGAATATCACTAACTCTACAACAATTTTCCTTTCACTAGGTCTCTCAAAATAACATTTTATCCCTGTTTAACATGCATACATGATTATTATAGTAATCTGCTTACTCATTAAATTAATGCACTTGTGTTCTCAGGTGTAATATACACAACAATATTTTCAATAACCCTATAAGAACTTATCACCTTTGATCAGAATGAATAATGTCAATGCATGAACTATAAGTACATTTCCTAAAATAATTATTTTGTTCAATAGGAGGTGCAATATGAGTTCTATTCACTATTGAGTGTACATTCAATTATATTGCAAATACCTAGTGCTAAAAAAGCATGCCAAAGTCACTGATGCAATCTCATTTCAAACATGGAGTCAACAGTTGATGTTATATAAGATATTTCAATGTTAATAGTTTTTATTGACCAATAATCTGCATGAAATCTAGGAAATTGACAGAAAACTAGATTCTTTTATTGAGCAAAGACAAATTTAGTTGAGAAAGGATGAATGCATTCTTTACTGTTTACAAAAATCTCAAATGTGTTTCAGTTTGTTTAAAAATAGACCAACATCATACCAACATAGAAATTATACATATTGCACTGAAGTGTATGACTCACAGGATCATAAGATTTTTGTTGATTCTACTGAATTATCAACTCAGGCTATGAGTAGAAAAAAACAAATTATGAGTTGAACAAATTGAAACTGTCTATCTCAAAGTTTTGCTCAGAGCTGTTTAAATCCTGAATTATCTAGTTGATACCTAATCATCCTAATTATTAATGAATTCAATAATGTGTCACCAAGAAACATTCCACAGGTGGCTTATTGCTCCTGAATGGTTACCACAGTTTCTAGAAAGTAAAAATGTCTCCCTATGGGCTGAAAACATTTATGAAACTGAAATTACTATTGTTTTCTAACAATTTTTAATCATCAGCCTAGACTGCCAGTGCTGTAACTTCTGAATCATTTTATTCCATAATTTGTTGATAGATTATCAGACCTCCATCAACCTAGTAAAACCACTTTATATTTTTCAATCTAATTTAAGCCTGATTTATTACCCTATTGTCGAATTTATTGCTCTTTGATTTATGTAAAAAACACTTGGGTTCTGCTATTCTAATGTTGAGCTAGCAGTACCACTTAGTAAATAAAAATTCAATCAATTGAAGGTCTAATCCTAGCCTATTGCCGAATTTTTCGCACATTGTTTTTTTTTAAACCATTGAGCTAGCAGAACCAAGTCTCAAAGAGAATATAAGAATATCAAGTACACCATAATTTAAAGCTAATTTAAGGCTCTTCATCTCACTCTTCATTGAACCTTTTACCGTATTTTTTTGTTAATCATGTTCTGCAGAAATTTTCCCAAATCCAATATGAACATTACAATACAATAGCAAACCAAAAAAAGTTCAATCACGAAATGAATTACACCAAAATCTAAGGCTAATTGAAGGTTTTTATCCTAACCTATTGCCGATTTTTTCGCACATTGTTTTTTTAAAGATCATGGGTTCTGCTAAGGGTTTTGCTAGCTTAACCACTATAAGCTAGCAGAACCAAATCTAAAACTCATCTAAAATTGAAGGAATATAAGTATATTGGGTACATAATAATTTCAGGCTATTTTAAGGCTCTTTGTTGAGCCTATTATCAATTTTTTGGTTTATCATATTTTGCAAAAATTTTCCCAAATCCAACATAAACATGACAAACCAATAGCAAACTAAAAAAAGTTAATTGAGGAAACGAATTATATCATAACTTGAGGCTATTTCAAGGCTCTTTGTTGAGCCTATCATTGATTTGTTTATTCATCATTTTTTGCAGAAGTTTTCCCAAATCTAACATGAACATGACAAACCAATAGCAAACCAAATAGAGTTTAATCATGAAACTAATTACTCCATAATTTAAGGTTAATTTAAATCTCTAATCCTAGCCTATTGCCGATTTTTTCGCACATCTTTTTTTAAAAGAAATCATGGGCTTTGCTAGCTTAACCATTAACCTAGCAGAACCAATGATTTTCTTTAAACAAAGTGCGAAAAATCGGCAACAGGCTAGGATTAGGTAAGATGCTAGAATAAGAGCCTTAAAGTAGCCTAAAATTATGGAATAAATAGTTTCCTGATTAGACTTTTTTCGATTTGTTATTGGTTTGTCATGTTCATGTTGGATTTGGGAAAATTTTTGCAGAAAATGATTAACAAAAATATATGATAGATTCAATAAAGAGCCTTAAATTATGATGCACTCATTTTTCCTCGCATTTTTCTTATATTTCTTCTATTGGAGATTTTAGCAGAGCCCCCGTTTTTTGCATAAATTGAAGAGCAATAAATTTGAGCTTGACTTAGGGATATATCTAGGTTTAACTTGTCACTCAATTAATTGATGTTGAAAATAACAACAAAAGACAAATACCTAACTATCTAGAGATTGAGATCTCCCAGTAAGTAGGGCAATTAATTCATTATGTAATATATGGAACTCTACATGAAACTAGATGAATAAAATCCTGGTTATTTGCAAACCAATAATATATTTAGGTCTATGATACAGTATACAGGGTGGCCCTTTGAAAACGAAACAGAGGCTCTGTAGATCGCCAAAACCGGATTATGAAAAAACTCGGAAACATTTAACTACATTTTCGAGGGGAACATCGTTCTAAAATATTTTCAGCCCTGCGGCGTTGCCGCTTCCAACGAAAAGAAGCAACAACTTTGTTATTTCAAATGGAACACCTTGTATTATATTGCGTTTTTAGATTCTCCCCGAAGAGCTGATTTCATCAATGCATCACACTTGGGGTCTAGCTGGAATGATTTCAGGGATATAAGGTGTTCAAAATCGAGATTTTTCAACTTTGGCATTTTTTTGTGTTGAAACTATTCATTATTGGTCAAAACGGCTCTAATGTCCCTATCTCAACTTCTCATTTTCTATCTACTGACATATAATTGGAACAGATACAGGGTGATAGGGTTATATGAGCTGCTTTGACCAATGATGAATAGTTTCGACCAAAAAAAAAATCCTAAAGTTTAAAATATCGATTTTGAACACCCTATAGCTCTGTAATCAATGCCGCTAGACCCCAAGTGCGATGCATTGATAAAGGGGAGAATCTATAAATGCAATGAAATACAAGGTGTTCCATTTGAAATTGAGTTGATGCTTCTGTTCGTTAGAAGCGGCAACGCCGCAGGGCTGAAAATATTTTAGAACGATGTTCCCCTCGAAAATGTAGTTCCCTCTGTTTCGTTTTCAAAGGGCCACCCTGTATATATTATTCTGTTATCATAGAAATAATTCAAGAAAGGTTTGGTTCACAATCTTCTTCGCAATTTTCTTATGAGAGTCTTAGTTGTAATATGTACAGGGTCTCCATAAATGACCGTAGCTTTCTAGTGGCCAGTGGCTCTTGAAATATTTTATTGATTTGCCGCTTCCCCCTTATGGAGATCGAACTATAACACCTTTACTGGCTTCAATGCCTGTAAACAACATAATCAGGAAGCGGCCAATACGATGCTATGATAATTTATTTGACACCCTGTATTATCTGAAATAGTGTGTTTCACATTCAGAATGTATTGAAGTAGTGAATGCTTGACTTACTTTTAGAAAATTTGCTTTATTGGTAGCTTCTTTGCCATTTTTGCAGGTACTCAAATCTACGTAATGGTGTGAGCACTGACTTAATTTATTTTAAAATATGTTTCTTCTAATATACAGGGTGATCCACGGTGGATGGCCTATTAGAAGTATCTGGAGAACGAAAAAACAGAACATTTTGAAAATTGGGATGCTTTGATAATTGAATATTCTCTATCCACCTAAAATATTTTCATCGATGCAGTGTTGCCACTTCTATCAGAAACAACTAGCAACTTTGTTATTTCAAACGGAACACCCTGTATCTTATTGCATTTTTAGGTTCTTCCTAAACAGCTGATTTCATCAATGTGTCGCACTTGGGGTCTAGCAGGAATGTTTACAGAGATATAGGGTGTTCAAAATCGAGATTTTTCAATTTTAGGATTTTTTTGTGTCGAAACTATTCATTATCGATCAAAACGGCTCACATGTCCCTATCTTAAAGTTGATTCACTATCTACTAGAATTTAATTGGAAAAAATACAGGGTGCTTCAAAATTCAGAATTCTGATCACCCTGTATCCGTTCCAATTAAATGTCAGTAGAAAAGCCGTTTTGATCGATATTGAATAGTTTCCACACAAAAAAATTCTAAAATTGAAAAATCTCGATTTTGAACACCCTATATCTCTGTAATCATTCCTGCTAGACCCCAAGTGTGATACATTCGTGAAATCAGCTCTTCAGGAAGAATCTGAAAATGCAATAAAATACAGGGTGCTCCATTAAGAATAACGAAGTTGCTAGTTGTTTCTGATAGAAGTGGCAACACTGTATCGATGAAAATATTTTAGACGGATAGAGAATGTTCAATTATCAGAGCATCCTAATTTTCAGAATTTTCTGTCTTTTCGTTCTCAAGATACTTCTAATAGGCCATCCACCGTGGATCACCCTGTATATCTCTTTTACTATATTTGTGAAACAATGATAATATGTTTCATGAACCTATTATAAGTAATTTTTGGATAAATCATCTGGTATATAATAATGCTGTACATTAATTACCATTTTGATCAAATGCTCACACTATTATACATGGTGACCCACTTGAAAGCAGGATGCACCCCTGAAGTTCTGATGTTTTCATTGATTTTGACAAATTTTTGAATTGAAGAGCATGAATAACTAAGTAAGGACAAAGGGACACTATCTCAGACACAATTGTGTGGATTTTCGGGATAAAAGATGAAATCAAATTGGCAAGAGTAAGTACCCAGTGTATGCATATGTATATGCATGGGAATATTTCGACATTTACCATAAAATGAAAATGAAAAATCTAATTTGGAAAAAAACATTTCTTCAATTTATTTGGTCACAAACATGAGCTTGATTTTTTTAAATCTCTAATAATTTGATCTCTTCCCTCTTGTTTTGACCTGGTATCTTTGGTTTTTGAAAAAAAAAAAGTGGCGCTTTGTTCTAATCTTCAGTTTTTCACCATCTACAGTTCAAAAAGAAATTGGACACAATGAAGACTTTTCAATTTTAGGCGAGTGTGCCACTGCCAGGTGAATCACATTTTACAGGATGTTCATTAGCAGGAAGAGGTCCAGTATATCCCTTGATAAGGAAATATACAGGGTGGGCCACCAGTAACGCCTCGGTCTCTAGAAGGCTAACCACTTATCTTCTTGGAATTCTTCCTCTCTAGGAAGTTGCATGTCAACAAAGGGTACCATTTGAAATTATTTTGAAACATACAGGATGTCCCCAAAAATCACAAAACACTGAAGTTGAACTTTTTTCAATCGAACACCCTATATATTATTTCATTTTGAGATTCTCCCTGGTGAGCTGATTTCAACAATCCATCATACTTGGGGTCTAGCAGTTATAATTACTGAGATATAGGGTGTGAGAAATCGAGATTTTCCACGTTCAAGAATTTTTTGTGTCTAAACCTTTCATAATTGGTCAAAACGGCTCACATGTCCCTATCTCAACTTTTGATCAACTATCTACTGACATTTAATTGGAACAAATACAGGGTGGTGCAGAATTCAGAATCTTGATCACCCGGTTAAATATCAGTAGATAGTTCAGTAGATAGTTAATCAAAAGTTGAGATAGGAACATGTAAGCCGTTTTGACCAATTATGAATAGTTTCAACACAAAAAATTCTTGAACTTGGAAAATCTCGATTTTTCACACCCTATATTTCAGTAATTATAACTGCTAGACCCAAAGTATGATGGGTCGTTGAAATCAGCTCATCAGGGAGAATCTCAAAATGAAATAATATATATGGTGTTCGATAGAAAGAAGTTTATCTTCAGTGTTTTATGGTTTTTGGGGACACCCTGTATGTTTCGAAATAATTTTAAATGGTAGCCTATGTTGACATGCAACTTCCTAGAGAGGAAGAATTCCAAGAAGATAAGTGGTTAGCCTTCTAGAGACTGAGGCGTTACTGGTGTAACCCTGTATATACTGAATAAGTTCCAGGATATACATAATCAAAAAATATCCTCAAATTCCGAATATGGTGTTTGAATGAAGACCACAAAAATGTTTGGACATTAAATATCATGTATAACCAGCAAGTTGAATAAACAAGTGAAGGATAAATTATGCCAACTTGTGAAAAATGCGAAGATTTCTGTGATTTCTTCATTTTTCATGACTAATTTTATTTCAACAGTAGGTTGAAATAGTTATATTCCTAACAAGTGCGCGGAGCGGAGTTCGAATAAGTTTTTGCGTGCGGAAAAGACACTTTGCGCAGTTAAACTTGATAGAAAGAACGGGTGAAAAGTAAAAGGGATAACGGCTTCTTGTAGTGCATACAATAGTCTACAGCAACTAAAATGAATATACAGGGTGTCTGTAAAAGGTTGGGACATGGCTCGGCTGTGGACTCTTGGGATAAAAACAAGTTGATTTAGGCCAACTTACCTATATCCAAAATGGACTCGTTGAGTTGGTATAAGGCGTTGAAGTTTTTTTTGAAAAAAATAATTTTGCTCATAAAAAGAGTAGGCTGAGATCGATTTTCATAATTTTTGGCATGGCATGTTCTGTGACTGTAAGTCACGTTTTGAGATGTTTTTGATCATCATCAGTGACCTGCAAGTGTTTCAAACAACCGTGTTGCCGTACAAATTTGGTGATAACTTTTCAGAGGTCGGACTGGAAACTTCCAGGTTTTTTTTTCTAGGAAGATATTCCTTTCAGAAATATTTTTTGTATCGTGTTAATTTTTGATAAGTCTCGAGGTTCATTTGCAAATAAATAATTTCTGATATGATGCATCCTGCGCATTTTATTGTTTATTGATCATGGCTACAATGTATTCTTATTGTTAACAAATTGATATGTTGCTGGTCCTCGCGGGCTTTACAAGAACTCTCGCGTTACAAATTTAGCGATAACTATTCAGGACCTAAGGTGAGCACTTTAACGCCTTGTACCAACTCAACGAAACGATTTTGGATATAGGTAAGTTTGCTAAAATCAACTTATTTTCATCCCAGGAGTCTACAGTCAAGCCATGTCCCAACCAGATTATTTTTCTAAAAAATGCATAAGATACCTCTGATCAGAAATTATTTATTTGCAAATGAACCGGGGTGTCTGTAACAGGTTGGGACATGGCTCAGCTGTGGGCTCCTGGAATAAAAACAAATGATTTAGGCCGAGGGGTAAACCGCGGTGGAATTCTGGTGTACAGGGTGATTCACCATAAATGTGTCCCCCTCTAGCTCAGTTATTTTTGAACCGACTCAAAGATTTGAAAAATAATCAAAAATGATTTTTCAGAAATTTATTTCCCGTTGCATCAGAAAATACAGGGTAAACGGAACAAACGATCTACAGAGTATTACTTGATTTTTTCAAATGGAACACCGTGTATTTCATTGTATTTTTAGATTCTTCCTGAAGAGCTGATTTCATCAATACATCACACTTGGGGTCTAGCGAGAATGATTACAGAGGTATAGTTGGTTCAAAATCGAGATTTTTCAACTTTAGGATTTTTTTGTTTCGAAACTATTCATTATTGGTCCAAAACGGCTTCAACTTTTGATTTACTATCTACTGACATTTAATTGGAACATTTACAGGGTAGTTCAAGATTCAGAATTCTGATCACCCTGTATCTGTTCCAATTATTAAATGTCAGTAGATAATAAATCAAAAGTTAAGATACGGACATGAAAGCCGTTTTGACCGATAATGAATAGTTTCGTCACAAAAAAATTCTAGTTGAAAAATCTCGAGTTTGAACACCCTATAGCTCTGTAATCATTCCCGCTAGACCCCAAGTGTGATACATTGATCAAATCAGCTCTTCAGGGAGAATCTAAAAATACAATGAAGAAAAGGGTGTTCCATTTAAAAAATCAAATAGTACCCTGTAGATCGTTTGTTCCAAGCACCCTGTATTTTCTGATGGAGCGGAAAAAAACTTTATCGAAAATCATTTAAGATGATATTTCAAATTTTGAAATCGGTTCAAAAATAACTGAGATAGAGGGGGGACATTTATAATGAATCACCCTGTACAAACAACTGGAATTTCCTGGCCATTAGATGGACCTTTCGAAGAGCTTTCCGAAAATACCCCACTCAATACATTTATCTCCAGTATTTCTAATATTATGGGCAGTCTAACCTAAAAAAAGTGTTTATCGATCCTCAAATGATTTTTGAGAGTATGCTGTGACAATGAATCTACGTAACTGTATATCTTCTGAGATACTAATAATATATCAGTTGATTCGATGAGGAAAAAAACCTCCTGTAAGACTATTTTTTCAATTTTTTTCTACTGTCAAAAATAATAAAGTTATAGGGGATAGTACTTTATAACGTGTCACCCGGTACAAACAACTGAAATTCCTTGGATTTCTTTGGAATTCCTTGGAATTCTTTGGTTTTTCTGCTATAGGGAGTTTCAATTCACATTTTGAAAAAAAAAAATAGATTACCATTTGATTCTGAATCTACTAATATAAGTATAATATATCCAAAATTCGAGAAAATTCACCGAATTTGCGGGGTCCTTTCCTTTGTATTGGACTTCCAGTCACTAATGATCATCCCTGTACACTCACCTTTCCATCATTCTTGTAAATAGCTTGTAGCCGCTGTAGTTCTTCCGTAGAGTTTGATTGAGTGTCACATTTCGAACAGGGGCCGTGTCCGTCTTAACAGTGTGCTTATCTCGATGTTTTAGCAATTAACCTTACAATCCTTTCATGGCCTACAACCCGGCCAGCAGGGGGCGTTACTTCTCAAGACTGAAAATGGACAGTACCAGCTGCTCAGGGTGGGCCCGGCGCCCGCATCTAACATTAGTACTTCCCAGCCGGGCGGGCAGCCTGTCACCTTTCGCATGCAGACTGTGCAAGCGGTGAGTAATAATAATACAGGGTGAGTCATGAGGAACTGTACATACTCCAATCACGAAAAGAGGGACCTGAGGGGAATACCTAATGACCATCAGAAAGTGTCTGCTCTCCTTCACTAATATACAGGGCAGTGACGGCTCGTCAGGGACGGCAGGGTCGGCCGGGCCGTACCAAATAATTTGGAGAAAACTGCTGAATTATTTGATCAATAAAATTATTTTTCGAAACTGTTTTCATTATTCGTATGCTACTGTTATGAGTGTTATGCCATCATTATTTGAATTTCGTGCACTGAAACCTTTGAGTAAGCCATAGGAATATACACCGAAAATCACGAACTAATTCAGGACCTATGATATCTGGTAATCCCATCTTCAAAACGCCGCTTCAAGTTGAAACGCTCACTAGAGTCTCGAGATCATACCCGTGTGTTCACCGAAAACGCCCGATCATTACCTAAGCGGTGGGGAGATGTAAACAGGCAGCTTCTCTCGTTATGAATATTGGCGCGTGTCAGAATTATTTTGGAGTCAAATTTGCCAATCTGATGGAAACACTCCTGTATTTTACGTAATTGTTGAGTTATTAGGATTCTGAAATTTACAAGAGCCATAGGTATAGAATATAGATATAGGTACCTACCAAAACTAAACTCTTTGACCAATTGGGGACATCTTCAGTGATATACCTATACACTGCTCTTTGATTGTATCTTTCTTGCTGCTGTGAATAGAACGGAATAGAATACTTACGTAAGATACGGGCGTGCTTTCATGTAAATTGGAACAAAATTTGATTTTTCAGAACTGAACATTTCTCAGGAACAATATGAATATAGTCAGTGAATTGGACGTCCTGATTTCGAATCCGAAGTGATTTTCAACCTATCTTGCCTCTTCTAATATCATTTTCCGGAAATGTTGGTGGGTCCATGACCCGAGCATTGTATTTCACTGAAGATTACCTCACTTTGGTCATTGTTGATATATATATCTATCGCTCCTGAAAATCGAACAGTTACGTTAGATATACGGGTTGATTCCATTAGAAGCGACATGCACACTGTTTATATTTTTAAATACATCCAGTGGATTGAATTTTATTTTATGTTGAATATTAGAGTGTGTTTTTTTATGTGATATATTTGTTTTGTTTATTTAAAATATATATATTTTTTTAGTAGGCATACTAGTACTTCTTTTATATAATTCTGAAATCTGATCCACCCTGTATCTGTTTCAATTAAATGGCATCAGTAGATAGTAAATAGAATGTTAGGATAGGGACACATGTAAGCCATTTTGACAAATTAATATAGGTATTGTGTAGTTTCGATACAAAAAAAATCTCGATTTTTCACATTCACACCTTGAGCTTGATCAACGAAATCATAGCTCAATTAGAAGAATCGAAAAATGTAATAAAATATAAGGTGTTCCATTTTGAATAACAAAGCTGCTACAACTATATACTACTACTATACTAACTACTAATAATAATTTCTAGTGAAGCAGATGAACATTATCGAAAATAATTTGAATAAAACGAGCGTCCTCGCCAACAGAACATAAGCATATAACATGTACATATAGATAGTTTCATGATTTTCGATGAGTGGTTCGCTATTTTTACATGTAGGACTCGTCGTGACATAGCGAATTATTGCAAATCAAATCATCGCTTTCATTATCTGATAGGTCGCAGTAAGTAGATCACTTGATGCCTATCAAATGTTTCTTATTTATTCGAAAAAAAAATGTTGAAATGTGATCAAGAAAACTGTTGGTGGCCCACCCCGTACTACAAAAACTGCATGAGAGAAGCTGCCTGCCCACTCATTGTATCATGGCTGCCTGCTTACGTCTCGGTCTCCCCACCGCTTAGGTAACGATCGGGCGTGTTCGGTGAACACACGGGTATGATCTCGAGACTCTTGTGAAAAGCTCGCGTAGCTTCTCGCGTAGCTTACTACATTACTCTACAACTGCAGTCGGCCGGCCGATCGGAGGTTTCATGTCTCTGGACGCGTCGCATACGGATCCCCCGCTTGAAGTCGAAATTCTCGCGTATACGCGGCATACCCTGGGTTCGGCCAAGCTCCGCTGGCCGATGCCAGCTTCCAACGTAACGGTAATGGTAATACCCGTAGTGTGCTGTGGACTGTGAACCGTATCCGACCTAATGTTTATTAAAATAGGGATTGACTCGGATTTTCGTTTTACCAATACATCAAATTTATAATTTCAATTCCTATTTGTAAGTTTCTGTTTAAATGTACGAACTGAAAAAAAAAAAGGAATTTCGTTGTTTTTGTTCATGCTTGCAGTAAAACTGACTGGTGATTATTGAATTTGCAATTTTTCAGTAATTGAAAATTCAACATTCATCAAACATTAAAATCAGAATTCAGTACTGATTTTCCTTCAGTGCTTCTGAGCGACAATAAGTTATATATTTTGATATTGTTATGTACTGTACCACTGCCTAGATTTTATGGCGAAAAAAAATTCAGCAGCCCAAGAGCCAAGTATTGAAACATCGTAAAAAAGCTCTGATGAAAATGTTATAAATCTATGAAACTTCCAGAATATTACTATCTACTTTCAAAGACGGATGTAGCGGTATTGAATAATATTTATGCATCCATCGCGGGAAACAACTAGCTCGCGGGAATTAAGACACTTTTGACGATACCACACAATACCTACACGGCGTGCTCGGCCAGCCGACTGGGAAGGAGTGGGGTGGCTTGTTACAGGGACGGCGTAGCGTAGACAGATTAGTCATTGTGGTTATTTTTTCGCGTTAGAGGAGTACTTGAAAATTTTTTATTCTGGCTTCAGATTCAGCAGGAAAAATAAATAGTTATGGCCAGCGTAAGAGTACCTATGTAACAATGATGATCTGGTAAGCCAATTATTATCATTTCATCAAAAACAAAAATGAGATGACGAACTAGAGCAACATCTACCATGGCCGACCCAGGTTCTGAGGGCACGAGCCGACACTGATACAGGGTATTCCTTAATGATATGCTAATATTCAAGGGGCCGATTCTTCGACCCATTTCAAGAATGAAACTTCATATGAACGTATGTTGTAAACGTCCTAACTTTCGAGATACAGGGTGTCAATGTTGAAAATATGCATAGATTATTTTTTTGTCCACCCTGTATTGCTTTTCGACATGGTAAAACTCAGTCTGCTATGTGACTGAATCGGTATACAAATTTCAAAATGTCACATACTGTGGTTATCCAGTAAAGGATGTCCTGAATGGAGTACTCAGACATCAAAATAATAAGTCTGGTCTCGTTTTTCCGTTTTTTCTCGAAAACGAAGCGTTCTATGGAGTATCAACAAGAGGATCTGTTTTGTACATAATTAATTAGCCTTTCATGACATTGTATAAAATTTGAAAATTTTTTGTCGTTGCTCACTTTTAAGTAAAATATAAACAATAATATCCCCCTAACGGTGCCACTCGAGGTGCCACTGGTAGAGAAAATGAAAATTTTTGTACATCATAAAATGCACCTTGATGCAAATTTCATGAAGATGTATACAATATTGTCTCAGTTATTATCAAAAAACTAATTATTTTTCAAAATTTCATCACCCTGTATCTCAAAAGTTAAGACTTTTAGGACATACGTTCATATGAAGTTTTCTTCTTAAAATGAGTTGAAGAATCACCCCTTCGAATATTAGCATGTCTTTAAGGAACACCCTGTATAGGGTGAATTATGGGATTTGGCAAAAACATATTTTGGTAATAACTTTCCAACAGCTTCTTCGATTTGTCTGATTTTCGCATATGATATCCTGCTACTACTCTCTAATCGACTGACTTATTTAGAATTAGGAAAATCCAGGACCGTTCTTGAAAAATTTTGCTAGTTCAATTTTTATCAAAAAGTTCACCCTGTATACGGTTTTTGTAAACTGTGACAGGGAAAATTCAAAGGTGACAAACAAACATCGGAAATGGAATATCCGAAATTTCCCTCACACGTTCACACAATTTTTGAAGAAAAGACGAAATTTTTGCAACAAATACATTAATTTGAAAATAAATACTTCACAACGCACAAATTTCACGATTTAAAGTAAGACTGACATTGTCAATGCTTTAGCTCAATGGAAATCAACATGTTCTTTCATTTCCAGGTCTGGATTCCGTCATTTTATTTTTTTTGTGGAGTGTATAATAATCACTCTGTAGATCTTTTTCGAATCAGTGGATGGGGTATCTGTATGGATATTTATTACGGGCAATCGATTCAAATGATTCTAGAAAGTCAATCAGCAAATAGGGGTTTATCCACAATGTTTTATAAGACTACTATAACTATAACAAAGGATGATAATAATTATTCTTCTGTACGGCAAATCAGTGACCAAAATAACTTGATAAAACAAATCGATGGCCATCATCAACACCCATACAGATACCTTTATAGGTAATAAATTTATAATGCAACGACACATTTAACATTTCATTCCACTTTGTGGCTATTTTGTAGTGCTATTTTCGTAGTGATACTATTTTGCTGGAAATATTGGACGATTCTTAGGACAGCTTGAAGCCTACTATTTTCGTAAATAACATCAGAATAATCAAAACTATGGAGCCGTAGTCAAGAAAAATATCAGATAATTATGGCTCGAAAACTTGTACACCTAATTTCCTGTGGGGCAAAACTACCCAAACTTCTTCAATCTTCCTCTAACTTCTCCGAATTTCCTCGAACTGCCTTAGAATTTTGGAATTATCTCATAGTAATAAAAACTGTTTTTCTATTTGTATTATTTTCTATTTGATGAATTGATTGATTATTGAGAGTAATAACGTCAAAAACGAGTTTTTTATCTACATACTTTAACTGAATGTGCAAACATAAAGAAACAGTGCTCTTTGAGTTCTGTGGATTTTACCTCGAGAACCATTCACCAGTAACACACAGACTTAATGAAAAATATGTATGGGTTCAAATGGCAAAGGGAAATTGCTGACAATTACGTCTGACGTCTTCCGAGATAGCACTCTAGATAGCCCGATGTTTGTCCTTCTGTTGGTAAGACCCTCTAACGCTACCGTCTGTGATCTGTGAACTAAATATCAGTTGAGATGTGATTATATACAGTGAGGACGTAAAAAGTCCTCCCCCCCTCCTTCAACCTTTGAACTGAACAAGCTAGCGAGGTCGGGTAAAATTCAGACAAAAAGGTACCTCTTTCACAACTATTTGGCATGAAAATGGTTGTGGTCATGTGACCTAGTGTCAAGTGGGCACTATGAATCAAATCAATTCCAAAACCAATTTTTTCGTGTCAATAGGTGAACGATGAACATTTCGAGCATGATTGAGCACTTGTTACAATTCCTACTTGAAATTATGTTGCAATTAAAAGTTATTTAGGTTATCTATTCATTAGTATTAATATTTAAAGCAAATTTCAAACGCTTGTCATTTTGAAACGGTGGGGGGGGGGGGGGGAGAATTTTTCACGTCCTCACTGTATATAATTTCAATGACAATATTTTTCTGACCCTTCAGATAGCAAAAAAGTGAGCATCATCAGTTTATGAAGCATTCTTTTACCAAGAAAGCCCGGCGAACATTGTTTGAATAGCAAACACATCACAGAATACGAACTACAGACAAGACTGAAAAAATGGACACAGACATGTCTTTCTTCATAAGTAATCTGTGACTATCGTGACCGTACTGTGCAAATGTGACGTTCAATCTATGATTTTGTTCTCAATGTTGGAAAAATAATATACAGGGTGGCCCTTTGAAAACGAAACAGAGGCGTCAACTACATTTTCGAGGGGGACATCGTTCTGAAATATCTTCAGCGTTGCGGCGTTGCCGCTTCTATCGAAAAGTAGCAACAACTTTCTTATTTCTAATGAAACACCCTGTATTACATTGCATTTTTATATTCTCCCTGAAGAGCTGATTTCATCAATGCATCACCCTTGGGGTCCAACGAGAATGATTACAGAGATATAGTGTGTTCAAAATCGAGATTTTTCAACTTTAAGATGTTTTTGTGTCGAAACTATTCATTATTGGTCAAAGCTACTTCTATGTCCCTATCTCAACTTTCGATTCACTATCTACTGACATTTAATTGGAACAGATACAGATTGATTAAAATTCTGAATCTTGAACCACCCTGTATTTGTTCCAGTAAAATGTCAGTTGAAATAGGGACATGTAAGCCGTTTAGACCAATGATGAATAGTTTAGACACAAAAAATCCTAAAGTTGAAAAATTTCGATTTTGAGCACCCTATATCTCTGTAATCATTCCCGCTAGACCCCAAGTGTGATGCATTGATAAAATCAGCTTTTCAGGGAGAATATAAAAATGCAATGAGATACACAGTGTTCCATTTGAGATAACAAAGTTGTTGCTACTTTTCTATAGAAGCGGCAACGCCGCAGCGATGGAAATAATTTATAACGATGTTCCCCTCGAAAATGTAGTTGACCTGTTCCACTGTTTTTTTATAATCTGGTTCTGGCGACCTACAGAGCCTCTGTTTCGTTTTCAAAAAGCAACACTGTATTATACTGAACATAAGGGAACCTTCAGACACATCATACACTTCTCAGAGGAATAAACATTGAGCACTTTCGAAATACTATCTTCAGTTTCATCTTGGTAGTATAAGCTATTTATGTATCCAGTGCATAAATTAGGCTTTTATGTATCCTAGCATGTAAGTAATTGACCGAGCGATAGAGAAGGCTATCAACACGCCTAGGTACAAATCAAATTACCCTTCAGAAACCCCTTTGCTTCTTGACTTTTTTTTTTAATTCTAGCAAACAGCAACAAGCTCGTCAAATAACGTAGTTCAGCATGCTGGAGCAACGACCACTGTCACATCAACACCACAGCCTATACAACAAACACAGGTTGGGCAGGTTCAGGTTCAGGTGCAGGTATGAAAATATAATTTTTTCAATTCAAATTTCAGTCCACAACAACAAAATAAGAGGATTTTTAGAAGGTTGTTTCTTTATTTTTCAGCGTCCTGCAAATGATAATACCAAAGAAAAGTGTCGGAAGTTTCTAGCAAACCTATTGGAATTATCTAGTAGGGAAACGAAATCGGTGGAAAGAAATGTGCGGACGCTGATTCAGGAACTTATCGATAATAAAGTGGAACCTGAAGATTTTTGTGACAAGCTGGAAAAATTACTGAATGCTTCCCCTCAACCATGTCTGATAGGATTCCTGAAGGTTTGAATTTTTATTAATTAATATTTCACCATCTATATATATTTGTTCGAATTATTTGCAAAACATTACACTTTAATGAAATTCATTTATTGATGATGATTCAACAAATGTTTTTGACATTGACAATTGAGACGCTGATAGTTTTTCATAAACACCCTCCATCACTTTCATCTATTGAAGTTTTTTTTGTGGTTTCTCACCCTGTATTGAGTATGCCAATAGTTATTTTCCATTAGTGGGTCATGAATATCATATGAATTTTGACATTTCGTTTCCAAGCAACATGTTTTGACAAACAGAAGTTTAAAATCTGTTCCCTGAGAGGTGTTCATTTCTATGAACCACAAGAAAAATGATAGTTCCATTGTTGACTCAGTATGTTTGAATTTTGTCGTAGATTTGAAAACAATTCTGAAGAAAATAAGTCAGTAATTATATATCATGATTTGGTTTCACCTAGAAATAGGTTTGTGTTGAAACGTGAGAATGAGTATGGTAACATATTTTCACACTGCTTGACTCGCTTAGTTGGATAATTCTGCTTGTACTATATTCTAGAATCTTATATTTATGCGTGCATTGCAACAACACATTTTTGTAGTTTATTCCATCGCCGGATTGTTTCAAGTCGTTTTCAATTCCGGCATTTTATAGGATATGCAATATTATATCTATGTCCTATTTAATATAATGAATCAAATCTTCAGTTACCATTATGTTGCATAAGCAAGGCTGAGAAATAGATAAGATACAATAAGCCACCTCTATTTAGTACCTAGCAAATGCCAGAAAGTTAATTTATTTCAAATCATGCTTTTATTATACATAATAATATAACAATCTCACATTTCAATAGGAAGTATTAGAGTTCCTAAAATTCCAAAAACATATTGAGGAAAATCAGTGTGAAACCAGCCACGAGTCCCAGCCACGACTTCGCCTAATATTCAAGGCGCGCGCCATACCACCAATGGTCGTTCATTATCAATTTATATTCATGGCTGGCCATGAAATTACTTAAACCTAAAAAATATGTCCATGGATGAAACTATTTTACATCAATGATTTTCTCTGAGGGTCTATGATAATCTGTATATCTCACAATATTTTGTCGGGCAAGAATTAACCCCACAGGCCCCTTTTTTCGGAATTTCTAAAAAATTCATAACTTTTTCAAAATACACGTGGATGGGAGTTTTTTTCTATGAATGTGTTTCTCTGATGGTACTCAATAATATGTATATCTCACAATATTTTGTCGGGCAAGAATTACCCCATAGGCCCCCTTTTTCGGGAATTCGAAAAAAAATCATAACTTTTTCGAAATACACGTGGATGGGAGTTTTTTTCTATGAATGTGTTCCTCTGAGGGTACTCAATAATATGTATATCTCACAATATTTTGTCGGGCAAGAATTAACCCCATAGGCCCCCTTTTTCGGAAATTCGAAAAAAATTCATAACTTTTTCAAAATACACGTGGATGGGAGTTTTTTTCTATGAATGTGTTCCTCTGATGGTACTCAATAATATGTATATCTCACAATATTTTGTCGGGCAAGAATTAACCCCATAAGCCCCCTTTTTCGGAAATTCGAAAAAAATTCATAACTTTTCCAAAATACACGTGGATGGGAGTTTTTTTCTATGAATATGTTCCTCAGATGGTACTCAATGATATGTATATCTCACAATATTTTGTCGGGCAAGAATTAACCCCATAGGCCCCCTTTTTCGGAAATTCGAAAAAAATTCATAACATTTTCAAAATACACGTGGATGGGAGTTTTTCTCTATGAATATGTTCCTCAGATGGTACTCAATGATATGTATATCTCACAATATTTTGTCGGGCAAGAATTAACCCCATAAGCCCCCTTTTTCGGAAATTCGAAAAAAATTCATAACTTTTTCAAAATACACGTGGATGGGAGTTTTTTTCTATGAATGTGTTCCTCAGATGGTACTCAATGATATTTATATCTCACAATATTTTGTCGGGCAAGAATAAACCCCATAGGCCCCCTTTTTCGGAAATTCTAAAAAATTCATAACTTTTTCAAAATACACGTGGATGGGAGTTTTTTTCTATGAATATGTTCCTCAGATGGTACTCAATGATATGTATATCTCACAATATTTTGTCGGGCAAGAATTAACCCCATAGGCCCCCTTTTTCGGAAATTCGAAAAAAATTCATAACTTTTTCAAAATACACGTGGATGAGATTTTTTTTTATGAATGTGTTCCTCTGATGGTACCCAATAATATGTTCATCTCACAATATTTTGTCGGGCAAGAATTAACCCCATAGGCCCCCTTTTTCGGAAATTCTAAAAAATTCATAACTTTTTCAAAATACACGTGGATGGGGGTTTTTTTCTATGAATGTGTTCCTCTGATGGTACTCAATAATATGTATATCTCACAATATTTTGTCGGGCAAGAATTAACCCCATAGGCCCCCTTTTTCGGAAATTCGAAAAAAATTCATAACTTTTTCGAAATACACGTGGATGGGAGTTTTTTTCTATGAATGTTTTCCTCTGAGGGTACTCAATAATATGTATATCTCACAATATTTTGTCGGGCAAGAATTAACCCCATAGGCCCCCTTTTTCGGAAATTCGAAAAAAATTCATAACTTTTTCAAAATACACGTGGATGGGAGTTTTTTTCTATGAATATGTTCCTCAGATGGTACTCAATGATATGTATATCTCACAATATTTTGTCGGGCAAGAATTAACCCCATAGGCCCCCTTTTTCGGAAATTCGAAAAAAATTCATAACTTTTTCAAAATACACGTGGATGGGAGTTTTTTTCTATGAATGTGTTCCTCTGATGGTACTCAATAATATGTATATCTCACAATATTTTGTCGGGCAAGAATTAACCCCATAGGCCCCCTTTTTCGGAAATTCGAAAAAATTCATAACTTTTTGAAAATACACGTGGATGGGAGTTTTTTTCTATGAATGTATTCCTCTGATGGTACTCAATAATATGTATATCTCACAATATTTTGTCGGGCAAGAATTAACCCCATAGGCCCCTTTTTTCGGAAATTCGAAAAAAATTCATTACTTTTTCAAAATACACGTGGATGGGAGTTTTTTTCTATGAATGTGTTCCTCTGATGGTACTCAATAATATGTATATCTCACAATATTTTGTCGGGCAAGAATTAACCCCATAGGCCCCCTTTTTCGGAAATTCGAAAAAAATTCATTACTTTTTCAAAATACACGTGGATGGGAGTTTTTTTTTATGAATGTGTTCCTCTGATGGTACTCAATAATATGTATATCTCACAATATTTTGTCGGGCAAGAATTAACCCCATAGGCCCCCTTTTTCGGAAATTCGAAAAAATTCATAACTTTTTCAAAATACACGTGGATGGGAGTTTTTTTCTATGAATGTGTTCCTCTGATGGTACTCAATAATATGTATATCTCACAATATTTTGTCGGGCAAGAATTAACCCCATAGGCCCCCTTTTTCGGAAATTCGAAAAAATTCATAACTTTTTCAAAATACACGTGGATGGGAGTTTTCTTCTATGAATGTGTTCCTCAGACGGTACTCAATGATATGTATATCTCACAATATTTTGTCGGGCAAGAATTAACCCCATAGGCCCCCTTTTTCGGAAATTCGAAAAAAATTCATTACTTTTTCAAAATACACGTGGATGGGAGTTTTTTTTTATGAATGTGTTCCTCTGATGGTATTCAATAATATGTATATCTCACAATATTTCGTCGGGCAAGAATTAACCCCATAGGCCCCCTTTTTCGGAAATTCGAAAAAATTCATAACTTTTTCAAAATACACGTGGATGGGAGTTTTTTTTCTATGAATGTGTTCCTCTGATGGTACTCAATATGTATATCTCACAATATTTTGTCGGGCAAGAATTAACCCCATAGGCCCCCTTTTTCGGAAATTCGAAAAAATTCATAACTTTTTCAAAATACACGTGGATGGGAGTTTTTTTCTATGAATGTATGTAAATGTGTGTAAATGATATTTGCTCGTACGAATATTCTCTTATTATAATTAGGATATAATTTTCAAATTATTTAACGAAATCCTTCAAACAATTTTTGAACAGTGAAAAATCATCTACGAATATAATAAGAGTAGGAAAAATCTCACCTGATGTATATCACGACACGTGAAACTCGACGTAAAACACTCGAAATTGTAAAACACACTGAATATTAGGCCATTCAAAAATAAAATGAAATAATTCATATATTCCTATGTATATTTATATGAGCAAATAGGTTTTGTAGTACAGATTCACAGGATTGAACCTTTGTTTGTGCCAAAAAAGATTAAGTTAGGTCAATCTACAAGGGACCAAGATTTAAATCTTACCGCGGTCACACCCGATACTGTTGACATCCTGTAGTTAATCCCTATCCGGTAATTTTCGAAGAAATCTAAAGGTTCTTAAGGACTATCTGATTATTTTGGGTTAACTTACATGAACATTGTTTCAAATTATCTATAATGTGTATCTGAATCCTAGACAGAGGTATAGGAATAATTCACTATAGTTATACTATCGAGTACGTATTTCACTATGATAAAATTATGTAGAAAAACTCCGGTCATATATATTTTTCTATATATTAAATTAATACATATGCTTTATCTATATCATATAGAATATACACATTATCAAGTACCATCGGAGGAACCCATTCATAGAAAAAAATTCCCATCCACGTGTATTTTGAAAAAGTTATGAATTTTTTTCGAATTTCCGAAAAAGGGGGCCTATGGGGTTAATTCTTGCCCGACAAAATATTGTGAGATATACATATTATTGAGTACCATCAGAGGAACACATTCATAGAAAAAAACTCCCATCCACGTGTATTTTCAAAAAGTTATGAATTTTTTCGAATTTCCGAAAAAGGGGGCCTATGGGGTTAATTCTTGCCCGACAAAATATTGTGAGATATACATATTATTGAGTACCATCAGAGGAACACATTCATAAAAAAAAACTCCCATCCACGTGTATTTTGAAAAAGTTATGAATTTTTTTCGAATTTCCGAAAAAGGGGGCCTATGGGGTTAATTCTTGCCCGACAAAATATTGTGAGATAAACATATTATTGAGTACCCTCAGAGGAAAACATTCATAGAAAAAAACTCCCATCCACGTGTATTTCGAAAAAGTTATGATTTTTTTTCGAATTTCCGAAAAAGGGGGCCTATGGGGTTAATTCTTGCCCGACAAAATATTGTGAGATATACATATTATTGAGTACCATCAGAGGAACACATTCATAGAAAAAAAACCCCATCCACGTGTATTTTGAAAAAGTTATGAATTTTTTAGAATTTCCGAAAAAGGGGGCCTATGGGGTTAATTCTTGCCCGACAAAATATTGTGAGATAAACATATTATTGGGTACCATCAGAGGAACACATTCATAAAAAAAAAATCTCATCCACGTGTATTTTGAAAAAGTTATGAATTTTTTTCGAATTTCCGAAAAAGGGGGCCTATGGGGTTAATTCTTGCCCGACAAAATATTGTGAGATATACATATCATTGAGTACCATCTGAGGAACATATTCATAGAAAAAAACTCCCATCCACGTGTATTTTGGAAAAGTTATGAATTTTTTTCGAATTTCCGAATAAGGGGGCCTATGGGGTTAATTCTTGCCCGACAAAATATTGTGAGATATACATATCATTGAGTACCCTCAGAGGAACGTATTCATAGAAAAAAACTCCCATCCACGTGTATTTTGAAAAAGTTATGAATTTTTTTCGAATTTCCGAAAAAGGGGGCTTATGGGGTTAATTCTTGCCCGACAAAATATTGTGAGATATACATATTATTGAGTACCATCAGAGGAACACATTCATAGAAAAAAACTGCCATCCACGTGTATTTTGAAAAAGTTATGAATTTTTTTCGAATTTCCGAAAAAGGGGGCGTATGGGGTTAATTCTTGCCCGACAAAATATTGTGAGATATACATATTATTGAGTACCATCAGAGGAACACATTCATAGAAAAAAACCCCCATCCACGTGTATTTTGAAAAAGTTATGAATTTTTTAGAATTTCCGAAAAAGGGGGCCTATGGGGTTAATTCTTGCCCGACAAAATATTGTGAGATATAAATATCATTGAGTACCATCTGAGGAACACATTCATAGAAGAAAACTCCCATCCACGTGTATTTTGAAAAAGTTATGAATTTTTTTCGAATTTCCGAAAAAGGGGGCTTATGGGGTTAATTCTTGCCCGACAAAATATTGTGAGATATACATATCATTGAGTACCATCTGAGGAACATATTCATAGAGAAAAACTCCCATCCACGTGTATTTTGAAAAAGTTATGAATTTTTTTCGAATTTCCGAAAAAGGGGGCCTATGGGGTTAATTCTTGCCCGACAAAATATTGTGAGATTAACATATCATTGAGTACCATCTGAGGAACATATTCATAGAAAAAAACTCCCATCCACGTGTATTTTGGAAAAGTTATGAATTTTTTTCGAATTTCCGAAAAAGGGGGCTTATGGGGTTAATTCTTGCCCGACAAAATATTGTGAGATATACATATTATTGAGTACCATCAGAGGAACACATTCATAGAAAAAAACTCCCATCCACGTGTATTTTGAAAAAGTTATGAATTTTTTTCGAATTTCCGAAGAAGGGGGCCTATGGGGTTAATTCTTGCCCGACAAAATATTGTGAGATATACATATTATTGAGTACCCTCAGAGGAACACATTCATAGAAAAAAACTCCCATCCACGTGTATTTCGAAAAAGTTATGATTTTTTTTCGAATTCCCGAAAAAGGGGGCCTATGGGGTGATTCTTGCCCGACAAAATATTGTGAGATATACATATTATTGAGTACCATCAGAGAAACACATTCATAGAAAAAAACTCCCATCCACGTGTATTTTGAAAAAGTTATGAATTTTTTTAGAAATTCCGAAAAAAGGGGCCTGTGGGGTTAATTCTTGCCCGACAAAATATTGTGAGATATACAGATTATCATAGACCCTCAGAGAAAATCATTGATGTAAAATAGTTTCATCCATGGACATATTTTTGAGGTTTAAGTAATTTCATGGCCAGCCATGAATATAAATTGATAATGAACGACCATTGGTGGTATGGCGCGCGCCTTGAATATTAGGCGAAGTCGTGGCTGGAACTCGTGGCTGGTTTCACACTGATTTGAGGAAACACATCATGTAACAAAATACAAGTCTTCAATCATGATGGGTGGCTTTCCAAATATTGCACAGAATTATTATATATCATCCTGTAGTGTTTCATTCTGAGGCGCTGCAATGAATCATATAAATAGATTCTTCTTAAATGATGATTCAGGATCTAAAAAAGAAATCGGTTGTCGTATTCAATAGTCCAGATGATTCAGATTTTTCTGATTTTACATTTTGAATGTTGAGCAGTTAGTTGTACTAGTAATTTTTCATTCAAAATATGAACCATTTGTTATGTTTTCTTATATGATTTATGAAATTGATAGGGTTGTTTTGGACTTTCTGGTTATATCCATGAAAGTGTATTGAAAATGTCCTGAAAGCATATTGAAAACACCATAGCTGATTAGTCGTTTTTTTGGTCGTCAATGTTGAGATCAACTCTACATTTATTATAATCAAATGTCAACTCCTGTTCATGAATGGAAAGTTCTAATTCTATTCCCGAATAAGAACATGCCTTGTATTTTGTATAAAAGCCTCCTTCTGCTACGGCAATCTCTGACCAACGGGGAACTCACCATATTCGAGTTGGTTTAGTCGTTTTCAAAGTTGAAACCATCTCTACAATCTACATTCATTGAAATCAAATCAAGAATCAAATTTAGTAAACTTATGTGCCTAAATCAAAAGTTTTGATGCTGTCCCCGAGTAGGATAAGTATTTCAATCATGGCCGTGTAATTGTTTTTAGAAAAGCTTATCCCTGCTACGGCAATCTCTGGCCAACGGGAAACTCACCATATGTGGCATGGTTTAGTCGTTTCCAATGTTGAAACCATCTCTACATTCACTAGAATCAAATGTAGTAAACTTATGTGCATAAATCAAAAGTTTTGATGCTATCTCCGAGTAGGAAGAGAATTTCAATCATGGCCTCTCTACAATCTACATTCATTGAAATCAAATCAAGAATCAAATGTAGTAAACTTATGTGCCTAAATCAAAAGTTTTGATGCTGTCCCCGAGTAGGATGAGTATTTCAATCATGGCCGTGTAATTGTTTTTAGAAAAGCTTATCTCTGCTACGGCAATCTCTGGCCAACGGGAAACTCACCATATTTGGCATGGTTTAGTCGTTTTCAATGTTGAAACCATCTCTACATTCATTAGAATCAATTGTAGTAAACTCATGTGCGTAAATCAAAAGTTTTGATGCTATCCCCGAGTGGGAAAAGTATTTCAATCATGGCCGTGTAATGTTTTTAGAAAAGCCTCCCCCTGCTACGGCAATCTCTGGTCAACGAGGCTCTCACCATATTTGGCATGGTTTAGTCGCTTTCAAAGTTGAAACCATCTCTACATTCATTAGAATCATTTGTAGTAAACTCATGTGCATAAATCAAAAGTTTAGATGCTATCCCCCGAGTGGGAAAAGTATTTCAATCATGGCCGTGTAATGTTTTTAGAAAAGCCTCCCCCTGCTACGGCAATCTCTGGCCAATGGGGAACTCACCATTGATGGCATGGATTAGTCGTTTTCAATGTTGAAACCATCTCTACATTCATTAGAATCAATTGTAGTAAACTCATGTGCATACATCAAAAGTTTAGATGCTATCCCCCAGTGGTGGATAAGTATTTCAATCATGGCCGTGTAATGTTTTTAGAAAAGCCTCCCCCTGCTACGGCAATCTCTGGCCAACGGGGAACTCACCATTGATGGCATGGTTTAGTCGTTTTCAATGTTGAAACCATCTCTACATTCATTAGAATCAATTGTAGTAAACTCATGTGCATAAATCAAGAGTTTTGATGCTAACCCCCGAGTGGTAAGAGTATTTCAATCGTGTAATGTTTTTAGAAAAGCCTCCCCCTGCTACGGCAATCTCTGGCCAACGAGGCACTAACCACATTTGGGATGGTTTAGTCGTTTCCAGAGTTGAAACCATCTCTACATTCATTAGAATCAATTGTAGTAAACTCATGTGCATAAATCAAAAGTTTAGATGCTATCCCCGAGTGGTAAGAGTATTTCAATCATGGCCGTGTAATGTTTTTAGAAAAGCCTCCCCCTGCTTCGGCAATCTCTGGCCAATGGGGAACTCACCATTGATGGCATCCGTCCTCCACCTGCGAACGTGGTCTTTTCGCTGGCAGGTGCAACGCCGACTGTACAAACTGTACATTCTGTTCGACCAGCAGGCTTACCACCGAACCAGGTATTTATTTTTCGTTTCTATAGTTAGTAACAATGTTCGTTTGTGTTGCTAGATATGCTCAGAGCTCGGCTCAGAGCAAGTCATGCATTCTTCAAGAATATCCCTAGTGCTCGTCATTTTGAATAAGTTCCATAATAATGTAATTGGCTCTTACAGTCATTTCTTAACATATCTCCAAATGTATGGCTCTGGAATACCTTAATAGTATAGAGTATAGAGGCTGACTAAAAAAGCGCCAAGTCATAGCGCCGCTATTTTTTATCCAATTTCAAAAAACAAAAATGCGAATCAAATGACTCATCAGATACTACAAGGTGGCACTAACATTTTTTTCCCACCTAACGACAGCGATTGTCAACTTCTTATCCAAATTTTCATTAGATTATTTTTCTGATGATTTCTTAGCGACAGAGCATACATTATTTTCAACTAATTTTGCGCGAAATTCAACTTTTTATACATCATTGTATTCAGAAAAGAATCAATCAGAAAAATAATGGGCTAGTGGACGACTGATAATGAATTATTGGCATTCAATTACTCCACTGTGTCAATAAGGACCTAAATTGATTTTTGCATCACCTCTCACGCTCTTTATATGCAAAGAATGAGTCAGCTCATCTCAAACGTACCATCATGGCCGCCATTTGGCGATACGTCGAATAAATGGTGACGTCAGCTCTTATGCTGTTTCGGTATTGGTCAGATAATCTTTCATTCCCACTCATGAAGCAAGGTTGTCGAGTCATCAATTATAATTGAGTTATCAACAAGATATTAGTCTTGCCCTGTCGTTGAATAAAACACGGGATAAAACATAATAGGAGGAAGCCATGATAGTATAGTTCATTCTCGACTTTATCGAGCAACCAGCATGTCCAAATATTTCTTATACTCCAAAACAAAATATCATGTGAATGTTTAAGACTTGGCAACAATGTGCTGAATGCTGAGAACTAACAAGGCACCGCCCACAATTCGTGCGCCGTGTCTCACGTTCACCGGTTCGGAAGTTGTCTAGTGTGAATTATAATAATTATTATATACACAAAATGTATTTTAAGCAATAAGCCATAACACATGAGGGAACATTTTGAGATAATAGATTTTTTATTGATAATTGCTAATAAGTTTTATAGCAATACATATTGAGAATTATTGAATAACTAATATGTCTGAAGTTCCCAGTCGTATTTCAACATATGGCAACTGTGCCTAGGTTTGTTCCTACTTACGAAATCGTGAAGTCAGTTTTTACTCGCGGTAAATTTCTAGCTATTTGAAAATTACCATGGCAATATTGATGATGTTTTTTGCTATTTTAGTGATGATTCTATTCGATTAATGAAAACAATTTGTCCACTTGGCTATTGATGAATATACAATGTCATTTGAAAGATCATAGTTGACAATCGCTGTCGTTAGAATTGAAATTGGAGAGAGAATTTGTTAGTGCCAGCTTATAGTATCTGATGAGTCATTTCATTTGCATCTTTGTTTTTTAAAATCGGGTAATAAATACAGGATCTATGGCTTGTGTGTTGTTATTGATGGTTTTTCCGGTAGTTGTGTGATTAGTTTTCGAACTTTCAGTAACTCATTTAATACCTATTATAAATGTAAAGCAGACTCATAGCAGACTATTTTGTAAATTAATATGGTTTGGCTGTGTCAAATCTTTAAAGAAAGGTTAGTTTGCTCTTGTTTTACTGTGTTCAATAAATCAATGAGGTACTTATTATGTCTTCAATTTTATTTCCGTATCTGATATCACAATGACTCCATTGTGTTATTATTTAAAATGAAATGACAGCTCTGTCTAGTGTAAGAGATGAGCATTACTTGAGAGGAAATTAGATAGCTACAAGACGAAGAAATCAAAAATGTCGCTGTTATCTGTTACAGCCCTAGAAAAATTGTAGTGTTCAACTCGCACGGAATGCTTATTCCTAAATCACAATCATTCCGTGCTCGTTAAACAATATTCTATACAAATATTCTAACCTGATATGTCTTTGTCAATAGTCTGAGAGCTTGCTGAGCGGCACGTTACAAAATAACGTATTATTATCACAGTATAAGGATTAAACAGCTGCGTCACTTGTATCCGCGGTACATGCATTCTGGTAACCCCTGATTTATAGATTCTATAACGTAGAAGATACAACTTAAGATTTTTCTAGTACTGTTTTAGAATGTCAGATGCTCATTTCCATCTTTCTATGTTCGCGTTGTGGAGATTCGTTAGGTTCATTGTTTGATTTACATCAGAAATTGATTAAAGATATATAATTATTCTACATACAATATTGATTATGGATGCCTGAGAAGCCTCATGGAGAATATTATTCCATTTTATATAAGTCAAACAGGTATTACAAAAATAACTATGCCATCAAGGAGACAAGTTGGAAGAAGCAATATCACGGGAATTGTACGGACTATGAATATATCTGGTAACTTTAATTTATTCATTCATTGATGATGAAGTTTAGGTACTTAATTGATGCAAACTTTTCTCCTGGGGAGATCATGTATGATACCTATTTGTTGCACTTTGATGTGTGGTAAATATTTACAGCTGTAACAGATGGTTGCAAAGATTCAAATCCATATGGGTGTATTTGAAAACTTGTTGGGGTTGTTCTCATGGACATGAAGGTACTAATAGCGATTTTCAATACCTATTCAGAAATCCCATCCTGAACTGACGACATTTCCGATTTGCGGAAGCTCCTATTGCTGCCGCACATAATAATAGAACTCCTAGCAGTGTCAAATATTCATAATCCAGGTTATCACCTATTGGAAGAATGGGAATACCTTGAACAGATTGATCCCGGTGGTTTGAAATAATGCTGATTCCAAAAATGATACTTGATAGTCCGACCAAAAATAATGATACAAATTGATATGACAAGATTGGCGAGTGTCAAATTCAGGTAAATCTATAAATGCCAACATTATTTCATCGTCTCACGGTACTGATAGCGGAACGTTGAGAGATGCGGTATGGTATGTATAAATCAGGGGCCAGTGAATTTCTGCTCACCTTGAACCACTGATTTGCTCGTTGAACGGTGCCTAGCGCTGGCTAGAGATCCTAAATGTACTTGACACTGCTGTTTTGACGTTTTTTTGTATATTTGAGCACGGACACTAGACAAGCAGTGACAATCAATCGTAACCACAAACGATTTTGAAGCAAATTATATGTTTTGCCAGACAAGGACAAGAATATGTTTTTCGCTTAGATAAAGGATCCTCGCCTCTTCCTTCCTCCACAAGTCCTGGGAAAAGTACTTCCATATATCTTTCTCTGTCTTTGATTTTTGTATCAGAGTGCATAGCGTCTCCTCGAGTGGGTAAAAGGGTACGAAAAATTGATTAGAAAATTATTTCTTCTCGAAATATTGAATGATAAGGCTGAAGGACATCAATGGAGGTCGATATCAAGTTAGTAGGTACATATATACCATCGAAATACATATACTTTTCCTATGAAATAATTCTCTTATATGTAGGTACATATATACCTTCAGTTGAATATTTGTTGAATATTTGTTTATCACAAAAGTTCAGAATAGGGTAAGAACTGATAAATTTCATGAAACATACTTTTATTTCGCAGGAACAATTTCACTTTTACAAGAGTGGTAGGAAATAAGTAATTAATAAATGAACCAATGATATAGCAACAATAACAGCTGATTTCAGTCAGGATAAATAATAAAGGTTCACCAAGACATATGGAAGTAGGTATAAATGGACTTCAGCCCTCGACTCACTATAGATCGCCGTTCACATTGCTAAAGGGGATTGTTGGTTTTCCGTTTTCTCACAGTTGGAAACTGCAAAAACTTGCATCTTTCTCCTAATTTTCCCAATTTGCCAAACCTTTGAAATTTGTGTCATGTACGTCCGTGCACTGTCAGTTTCCGCTGTTTTCATCAATTTATTTGTGATTATGTCTGATTGTCAGTGCTTGTCATAGTGTCCGTACTCTAATATACGAAAAACGTCAAGCAGTGTCAAGTAGTGTCATTTAGGAACTCTAGCGCTGGATAATTTGAACGGCACTCTGTAACCCCACAACACGGCGCGGGATGTCATACGCGTACTTAGGTAATTCAACAGACTGACGCTGCTGTTTAATCCTTATGCTCATCCTAATGATGTTACAACTGAGACTTATTAGATATATTAACACGTTGACTGCCAGTGACTCAACTGTTGAGTCATGACGGACCCCCACCAAAGGCGGATGACTCAATTGCTGGGTCATGTGCACTCTGATATATCATGATCCAGTATAGCTTCGGCTTTTGTCAGGGAAACTACATATTACGTTGGCCTCTCGTTAAAGCATAAAAGTGTATTTTTACTGTATTGGTTTCGCGATCGTGTTTGTGTCTTTCTGTAATGGATGCTGGAATCCCAGGGCCATCTAGGCCTAAAAGAAGGCTAACAGACTACGAAAAAAAGAGACCTTTATCAATTGCTGAACAAGTAGAATTGCTATGGAAACAAAATTCGCAAAAATACCCCATTTTTCTTTCCTGTAAGTGACGACCAACCGGGACTTTGCCTCGGAAATTGTTTCCGAATATATCATGACAGAAAATGATATTTCTCAGTTTTTTTGGCAATAATCTTCTTATTTGTTGACTTTGTTGAGTTCTGTTTGTTCAGTATGTTGAAAACAATGTATCTCACTGTTGAATAAAGGTTTGGCATGCAATTCATATTTAGTTTTTATTGCAAAGTTCATTTTAGGGTCTGACTCAAGTGTTGAGTCATCGGCCTGTCGTTATTCAAACAGACCTCAGAGGCCGGTGACTCAACCCTTGAGTCATACTATTTCCAGGTCTAATGACTCTGAAAAATAAACTGGAATAACCATCACAACACTAAGGACTTTGTTTTTCACAAATTTGAACAATATAAAATGTCGGTTATTCGGGAAATCCCCACATCTCATATAGGCAGTCAACGTGTTAAATATTTTCATGAAAAATCTCAATTCTCTAGCATTAATTCCGCAGACAAATCTCCACCATTCACGATTCCATTCATTTATCCGTGTTTGGCGTTTTGGACTGTTGGCATATAAATTATTTTCTATGATTAATGTTGACAATACTCCTTTTTCCTGACAGGTCAGGATAGTGGGCCCCGGCGCGGCCGTAGTCCGACCCGCGCAGGTCGTCCAGCAGCGGCAGCCCGCCCCCGTGGCGAGGCAGCCCCCACCGCATGCGCGGATGGTGACGGCCGTGCGGCAGCCCGCCGGCAACGTGATGGTGGGCGGGTCGCAGCCGCCCGCGCTGCATCCCGTCTTCCCCAACGGGCAGCAGATGCGGCCGGCGGCCGGCATGAACGTGCGGCATCCCATGCAGGCGAGTCAACTGTTTCATTACTTATTTAATTCCTAGCTAGTTAGTTTTAGTTATAATAATAATAATAATAATAATAATTGTTCTAAAAATTGTTCTAAAATTGTTCTATCCTTTAAAAAAACTACAGTGATAAGCAGACCGTTGACTACTAGGACTTAAAGAAGCTGTTCTTCAGGCAATTGAAGAAGATCCACAGAGAAGCACGAGAAAAATTGCGCAAAATTTTACGAGCCCCATGGAAATAATTCAAACGCATCGATTATTTCAAATCCCAATAACTCGAAAACAGTTGCTCGCAGCGACGTCTACCAGGAATATATTTTTTACACAAAAGTGTTAAAGTGTTCTAGAAATCTATTTTTCTACTATAAAACGTGATACAGGTACGCACAAAAAAGTTATGACTTCAAAAGACTCAAAAGACATGTAGGTGGCGCCCACGAAAGAGACAAACCAACATACAATTTGATAGTGTCATTGAAAAATACCCCTAGATGCCAACCTTCATTCGAATATCACAATTGATTCGAAATTTATTAAGAAACGAAGAACTTTCGGACATATATTCATACAAACTTTCCATCTCTCTTTGACGTCAGCAAAGTAACCTTCGTGAATTGAATGTCAGCAGGTCTAGTGCAACTGATGAGGCTTGGAAAGCCATAACAGTCTGTCTTGCATCAGCTGAAAATCGATTCACGAAATTCCCCTAGAAACAAGATTCTATGTTTATCATCATGATATTTGTTTAGCAACAAATATTATGGTTTTTTTTCATTGTATTTTATTATATTTATTGTTCTTATTACAAAATTCAAGATGACATTTTAATGGTATTACATTACAAATTCATTCGTCGCGGATTTAGTGTTACGGATATAATGACGCAGATGTTATGACTAGCGGAACTTTCCAGTTTTATGTCCACGCTGTACAGAATGGCGACCGATAAAGCCCAAGTCGTTCTCATTTTCAAATTAAAGCAAACTGTGACGACCATTCTGAATCTAGTCTGAAAATAGCTGATGGTGAAGAATATAGCTAGCGAATAGCTAACTAATATCCAACGAATGAAAAACGAATAAAAAAAATCGAAGAAGAAGTAAAACTGGTAAAAAAAAATACATAACCACAAATGCACCCGGAGCACGAATGCAGAGGGTAGTTGGCTCCATTCTGACAGGCTATGGAAATATCTCGAATAGAGCTCGATCCTGAACGAAAATATCTTTGCATCAATGAATCACTATCGGCTACATTCAATGATACTATCCTTCCTAATTTACTGTCATCGGTCAGAACAAAATGAAGCCGACACCCATGGCTCCTTCCTCTTGTTGTGCCTGCCAGTATTTTGAGTGGTGTGGACGGACTCGAAGTATTAGGCGCTGTTGCAAGATATAACCTGCAACTTTCCTTGAAAATAAATCCGAATTATAAAGGAACGAATTCATTAGCAAAAAAATGACTGACAAGTTATGTATAACATATTGTAATATATCGATAGTGAAAAATTATAGATACTATCGCAAAATGTCATAATTAATCTTTATTAGTAATCAACTTCATTCAGCCAATGAGATATTATGGGAATTATTCATAATACTTAACAAAGTAGGATTGAAGAACCTATCATGTCCCATTGCTGTTTTGATATAGTTATTATGCATTCAAAAAATAATTTCTGGAAATCTAGACATATTGATGATGTCGGCAACGTCGTACTGGCACAGGGAATCGTATTTTTACTCTGTGTGGATTTCCAGAAAGTACGTCAAAGGAATGGTGGAGGAGCCAAGTTCCTCTTTTATTTATTTTTTTCCGAAGTGAAATTTGATCTTACGAAAAAAAAACGTATATATTATTTTTTTACAAACTTCACAGTGAGATAAAAACCTCAATATAGGAAACTTCCCCATTATGTGTCGTAGAATCGTTCTGGGATACCGTGTATACTAATCCGAGATTACTAATGAAATTCTTATTCGGCCCTAACCTCGAAATCCCTTCAGGTGAGGACGATGGCGCCGGGCCAGATCAGGCAGCAGATGCAGGTGCGCGCGGCTGTGCCGGTCCAGAAACAGCCGGCGGCCGGCGCCGGAGCGGCCGGCGGGGCGGCGCGGTTCACGGGGGCCAAGACGCCGGCGCCGGCCGCCAGCAAGCAGTCGGCGGCAAAGGACAAGGAGAAGAAGGCTTTTTCGGCCGCCTACGCGGGGGACGACGACATCAACGATGTGGCGGCCATGGGCGGGGTCAATTTGGCCGAGGAGACGCAGAAGATTCTAGGTTAGTGCTTTCGTACCGAATCCGGTACTATCTAGTGCACTTGTTATATATAGATAGATAGATAGATAGATAGATAGATAAAACTGAAAATTCCTTTGGGTATGCAGTCAAAAGTTGCGTTTTATTTATGCGATTCCGACACCGGAATCACTTTGATGTGTCGTTTTATTGTCACAAACTGTAGGCGGGGGTTGCCTAAGTTGTGTTCTAGATCCATTAGAGAATGAACTTCAAAAGTGATAATGATGAAGAATACTCCAAAGGGTTTTCAACAAAACATATACACACATTTATTCTTGACTTCAATGAATATAACAATTAATGAAAACTTATACTTACCCTATATGTACAAATTAAACGGCATTTCTGGGAGTCTGAGGAACGGCATCTTCTTCTGCCCGAACTCCGAAGGTTCGGGCACAGTGGCAAATGATTGAATCAAATGATTGATCGAGTCAAATGATCGAATGATCGAATGATACCTGTGCTGGCTTCCTCGCGCCTTTTATATGTTTAATCTATATTTTGGAAACGTGACAGTGAGGAAGTCAGGTGGATATTCCTGGCTCGTTGAAGTCAATGCCATGCCTGTGTTTATGTTCAACTACTAATCGAAAGTTCGGGGTTTAATAATTTTGGAAATAATAAACACAGACGTGACTGTTCAATGACCTGGAACTGATATAATTTTATAAGAATTTTGGAATTTGGCTTCAAATATCTCCTTATTTGTGACATTATTTGCAACTTTTCCGATTCCGGTTGCTACTTTTCATTCCGTCTCACTACAAGGAATGACGTGAATGACTGTTGACAGTTGTCAAAAAATTATATGAGATTGACGAAAAACTAAACTTTTTGAAAGTGAAAGACATTGAACAGACATTGTTATCGCGAAGTTGACAAGTTTATGATTCTTTCAAGTAAGACAGGTTTCATATGTTCATTGCCAGATGAAATTAATTCTCTCCATCTCAGAGAAGTTTCTCCAATCACCACAATCACTGCTCCAAATATTCGTTGATGAATTTTCTAGATTTTTAACTATAGTATCATGATTTTGAAATTATTTGGAGCCCCAATATATAAATATACTCTTGTGATTTCTCCCATGAAAGGTCATGAAGTTTCCAGTTTTATTTGTAAACGTCATTCTGTTCCCACCACCGCTACCAGAACAAAGTGAACTTGTTTTTGTTCAAGCTTTCAAGTCTTCATTGGCTTTTAATCAGGAACTGGAAAATGATGTTTTGTTGAAAATGGCTTCCGTCAAGTGGGGTATAAAATTCACAACATGAGAATACTAATATTTTTGAAGACAAGCAAATGTTACATTATACTTGAATTTTGTCCAGAAAACTTGCAAAGCATCTTTGCTCGACAATCATTACAACATGGCTGACAATCAGAACAGTAACATGTTGTAGCTCGCTTCAACAAATCCTCATTTTCCAGTTCCTGATGAAGAGCCAATATAGATTTGAAAGATGTTGCAATAGAACATTGGAAATCCAAAAAACAAATAAGCCTATTTTCAGCGATTAATTTGAACAAATGTTACTTTCGACATGTAGCTAAAGTCAAGTGACTCCGATCCAGTAGGCCATTTTTCATCGTTTTTGAAGCACAACTTAACGCCCCAGTAAAATTTCAGAATAAATTTTTATTTAAAGCTTTTCCCATATGATGCCAACTTTATAGATGACACCGTACAGGGTGGGCCAAATTGGACACTTTTGAAGGGAAAGTCCTATTTCCAAACTAGATAGACGCCAGTTCATTAGTACTTTTTATATTAGCTAAGCTCGAGAGCAATATTTTCCAACGTTTGTAGTAGAAAGTCGGCAGCGCCTTGTTAAAGAAAATCAGTTCTCGGTCATTATGTCCAATACAGTTTATTTTCTTCTTCTGTATGAAAAAGACCTAGTGAAAATATCACTTTCTTCTCTCCTCTCAGGTTCCACGGAGTTCGTCGGTACGCAGATCCGCTCCTGCAAGGAGGACGTGCTATGCGCGATGGCGCCGCTGCAACACCGCATCCGGCAGATCGTGCAACGGCACGGCCTTGACGAGCCTGGGCCCGATGTGGCAGCGTGCATCTCTCACGCTGCGCAGGAGCGGCTGAAGAACGTGCTCGAGAAGCTGTCGATCATCGCCGAACACCGGCTGGAGAACGTCAAAGCGCATCAGCGGTACGAGGTGACCAACGACGTCAAAGGTTGGTATCCAGTACTTTGCCTTGGTGATCTCCTTATTTTTTTAGAAAAACATTTCCAAAGTCACTGTAGTAGTCCACATGGCCGAAACATGTCTGAAACCTTATTGAAGCAGGATTGACTGCATCTTTTCAACATCAAACTTGTGGAGACGACTTCGAGTTTTCTTTCTTGATTTACGAAGTCTTCAAATGCCGGGTTGGAGTCTCCTAGAGCGACTATGTGCATTTCATCAATCATTAGTTGCATACCGTATCCAGTGACGGTAGATTTCTAATACAAAGTATAAACTCATTTTCTTTGTGAGGTACACAAAGAAATAGAAAATATGAATTATTCAAAGATGAACGTGGCGGCACCGCAAAGTTTCATAGTGGACCAGCAATAACCATTGTAAGAAATGTCATTTGTTGTTTTTATTGTTAATAATGGTTTTCTGGCTATTGTGTGAGGGCTTGCAAGTCTGAGGTAGAGTCAATGTGAGGGTGAATACACTGTATGATCGTTTACTTCCCATTCGTATGTGTTTGATAATTCAAGTTTTTCAGTTGTCAGCATTAAAACAAATTATGCAGGTAAATTACAGAATATTAGTTTTCCTGTTGCAGCTGGAGTAATCCTTAGTAGATTCACGGTTTCTTTATATTAAGTTTTCTCTCAATTTAACTGAGGTGGAAATGATTTGCGGTGTTATGATCGGGATGGTGTTGGTATATTTTGCTAATGTCTTGCTGCTCGAGAAGCTGTCCATTAACTATAAACACGTGAGTCATGAGTTTTACTGGGTACACCAGTAAACACATCTCAAAACAATTTATCATATCTGCATATACACTGTAGTGTAATCGAAGGTGAATCATGTCTGTTGATATAGGTATTCCTGATTTTATTATGTGGTGTAAAAATTGGAATATAAGTACCATCAATGCAACCCAGAACATTTGGAAATCCTTTCAATTTCTCAAATTCTGTTGCTGTTAACTCCTTTTCTTCAAGGGTGGATGGAAATTTTATCACATTTGAAGCTATGCTATTGAGGAAGCCCATTACTTTAATGCACAGTGAATGAAATGTCGATTCAGCTACACCGAACCTTCCTGCTACGTCCCTTATAGTACATTTATTTCCTGCATACCATAAAAATGAAAGAATGGCAATCTCTGCTGAAGTGATTGGGGAGTTCCTTATTATAAAATTTAGAATTTTCAAATCGATTCTTGAGTGTTTCAAAGGTGTTTCGATTCATTCTAAAGTTTTGTCAAAACTAAAAAACATTTGGTATAAAGTATAATGCAATTTTGTTAATTATTACTACCAATACCTGTGTATTTGAATATCTTCTCACAATTTCTGCGTATTCTTTGATTTTTGGCCGCACTGTTTTATCCTCCTGCTTTGAGTTAATGAATTCAAAAATATCATTATCACTATCCACGTCGCAGCTATCACTGCTGCTCGACAATAAGGAACTAATCGCTAATAGTTCTCTCTCATCCATTTCGAAATCAGAATTGGAATCTGAACATGAAAAATCACAAACCTTCAGCACTCTTCAACCGTTTTACTCTAGAATCGTCAAAAGTTATCGTGCGTAAAAATTCGAATCAACAGCGAGCGCCATTAACAGTCAAACATTAATTCTGCTCTACCCTCGAGTAGTGCCTGTTCAGCAGAATATATATATTGATGGTACTGTCTGAGTGCATACCAGCCGAACACACACGCACTACAAAAATTGGAATTGAATGCGCATTAGTCCAGCCAGTCGAATACGCTATTAGTCTAAGGTGAAAGGGTTCCATTCCAGGCCAACTGAAGTTCCTCGAGGACCTCAACAAAGCGGAACGCAAACGGCACAAGGAGGATAAAAAACGTGTTATCCCCACCATTCACGATTTCATTCATTTATCCGTGTTTGGCGTTCAGGATTGTCGACGTACACTTTTCAATGATTCAGGAATGAATAGCAGTGTATATCTATGCTATTTGTCGGAGTGTCCTCTTCCAGGCCAACTGAAGTTTCTCGGGGAACTGGGCAAGGGGGAACTCAAACGGCACAAGAAGGATGGAAAATATGTTATCCCCACCATTCCCGATTTCATTCATTTATCTGTGTTTGGCGTTTGTCTAGGATTGTTAGCATATACTTTACTTAGTCTAAGGTGAAAGGGTTCCGTTCCAGGCCAACTGAAGTTCCTCGAGGACCTCGACAAGGCCGAGCGCAAGCGGCACGAGGAGTCGGAGCGCGAGATGCTGATGCGCGCGGCGAAATCGCGCTCGCGCGCCGAAGACCCCGAGCAGGCGAAGCTCAAGGCCAAGGCCAAGGAGATGCAGCGCGTCGAGATGGAGGAGTTGAGGCAGCGCGAGGCGAACGCGACGGCGCTGCAGGCGATCGGGCCGAGGAAGAGGGCGCGGGTGGAGGGGGAGCCGGCCGGCACGTCGCAGGTGGGTGATCTGATGATGTACCGGGTGACACGTTATAAAGTACCACCCCCTATAACTTTATTATTTTTGACAGTAGAAAAAAATTGGAAAAATTGTCTTACAGTGGTTTTTTTGTCCTCATCGAATCGACTGATATTGTAACTTATATTGAATTGGGCGTCCTGATTCCGAATCTGAAGTGATTTTCGACCTATTTTGACTCCTGATATCATTTTCCGGAAATTGGGGTGAATCCAGGCTGTTGGCGAGCAGTGTATATCAATGAGGATGACCCCACTTAGTCATAGAGTGCATTTTTGGTATATCTCTCGCTCCAACAAATTTCAGGATCCTTACCCAACGATTACATAAGAGAGACAACTATTTCACAAGTTATGTCAATATAACATGTTGATTGAAAATAAATCCTTCCAAGTATTCAAATGAAAATAAATTGCTCCGTTCATAGTGTAGAATACGGATTGTTTGACGATAATGGAGTTACATGGATTTGCTATAAATGAGTTCAACTGTCTTGTTTCATGAGTATGTATTCACTTCAGTAAAGTTTCAAGTTGGATATTTTAATTTTTTTTCTCACAAAATGAATAAAAGAACACGTTTTTAGTTTATTCTTTGATTCTTTGGTTTGTAAAGATTAATTAGTTGGTTCCAGGTAATGTAAATTGTAAATGCACTTAATTGTTTTATTTTTTGATTTCATTAATAGTTTCAAATGTGATATACTTGTGCTTCCCCAATAAAATGCCAGTAATTGGATTTAGTTTTTTTCTCAGGTGATCTTTATGTTTTAGTAGAGTAGTTGGAGGAATTGAGGTGGAAATAATTTCCACAAAAACGCAGTTTTTATTTTCTGAAGCCTCATTCAACCCCTTACACTATATTAAAAATATATATGCATTCTTCCATGCAAAAATGTTTTAATGCCACTTTTCATATTTCAGGTGTCCAAACTGAAATGATTGTTTCACAACTCAACACATGTTCCGCTACTTAAGTTAGGATCTTCAGGATAAGATTCAAACGAATTCCATAATCTTCCTAAAAATGATAGAATGATTAGCAGATCTCAAAATCCGTGTCGAGGTGTGAAACAATCATTTTGGTATGTGATTGAAACTATTCTCTGTGATCGTGAATGACAGGTTCCATTATTTGATATATTATTCCAGGTATACCTAAATATAGTGAATTAAAAGCAGCGATAGAAGATAGCAAATGTTTATTATTTTCGTCAAGTATCTCATGATAGTTCGAATTGTGTTAAATTGACTGCTGAAGGTGTCCAAGGAATTATAAGTGCTAGAAGTAGCCTCAATACAAAATAATTGAACTCTTGGAACCAGTGCCTATTCATCCTCTATTTGTTCACGTCGAATGTCGTCGTTTGTACGTAAATCCGAACAAGATGAAGAATGATCTCAGGTTCATATCAGATCCTGATAGAGAAGCATCAACTAGTAGCAGCAGCAGGAGCAACAGAGCATTGTGATCTGAGCTGCCGACATTCGCATTCAATGATAATTGCTTGTTTTGTGGCCAATTCATCAAGGAAACTGCGAAAATAATTAAATCTGCAATTTCACCAGTACAAACTTTCGCGTTTCGACAAACTATTATTGATGTGTGTGATGCAAGAAACGATTTTTGATCATCAAATGTCTTTGCACGTCTTCTCTCCGTTATCGATACTTGCCAGCAGCAGATGCTCTGTATAATCAGAAATGTAGTGTGAATTTTGGAAAAGGCGACTCTATTCCTAAGAACATGATATTCCCAATGAACAGACAAAGTAAGCAGAACGTCCCTCTGATAAAAATAAAGAAGATGCCTTTTTAGAAATATGCAGGTGGCTCAAGGAAAATGATGAACCAATTTCAGTTCAGGAGTTGCTGGACAAAATGGCAGAGCTGCAGCCAGAAAATATCGAACCTTACACTGTTCGTTGCTGGACAAAATGGCAGAGCTGCAGCCAGAAAATATCGAACCTTACACTGTTCGTCGTATGCATAAAAAATGAGAAGAATATTTCTCGGTTGACATGATATTGAGACAAGAAGGTAGAGCTAATATGATCGTAACAGGGAAAACAGTTGCCAATATAATTTGTGATTATAAGCGACAAAAGTGTTCAGAAGATCCAGATGCTGAACAATTTCGGATAGTTGAAGCAACAGCTAAACTGATTAAGAATTCAATCACGGTGATAAGAACATACTTAGAATTTTATCCTTCACCAGAAGAAATAAGTTCCGAGCAGGAAAATAATAATCTTTTACCCGACATTTTGAAAACATTCTTGGATATAATAATCAACAAATTCAATTGAACAGGCACTAATGAAAGCTGCAAGGCCACGATCTATCATAAGTTCAATTCGTTTAGGTGTTGGTGTGCAGTATCATCAAGATTTTCGATCTCGGTTACTTGTCGATGAACTTTAAAAGCTTGGGTTTCCTGTATCATATGATGACGTACAGAAGTTCTTGCAAAACTGAAGTAGATGAACCTTGTGGAACCAGATGTAAATGTCGACGATGTTTTGCACAGTATTGTGCAATAATTGTTCGGGAAGGTACCAATATTCCAATCGAGGAAGTTGAAGATAATGAATGAACTTCTGTTACATGCCAAATATGCAATTTTTAATAGGTTAATGATTTATACGTATATTAACGAATAAACGAATATTGGAAACACTGTATTTTTATTTTGCACAAAGGTATCATTCTATATTTTCTCATAGGTGTTATTCTATGCATTCTGAACTGAGAAAAGCGAAAAAAAAATTTGTGGGAATTATTTCCACCTGAGACCATTTTTTATCGCATATCTACTACACTATTTTGCCCACGATAATTGTTCATCAATATAAAGACCTAAGAGTTTTAGTAACATCTGAATATTTTATGGCTTTCTGTTCGAAAAATATTGTTGTTTTCAATATATCAGTTTTTATTTTTGAAATATACATATACGGAGATTTGTCATAGTTAAGAGTCAGCTTATGAATTTGTAGCCAAGATGATATCATTTTGAAGCGATGTAGACTTCTAAAGTATATTAAAAAACCTTGATGATTTTTGTGTAGGCGAGTGCTGGTGGTTCAAACAATGGGACACGAAACCAACTGCCGTTGCGGCAGCGCATGAAGAAAGTGACTCTAAGGGACTTGCAATTCGTCTTCGAGACGGAGAAAGATCTATGCAAAAGTAAACTCTTGTACAAGTCGTACCTCAAGTGATGCTCGCTTCTTGTCAGTGTTGTGATATTTAGAGAACTAGACAATTTCAAATTAATTGCCCATACTTCATTTCGTGTTCGTTTTGGTATTGTGTCGGAGGCGGTTGTCCAAAAATCTAATCAAAAAGCTCGCGTTGGCGTCATGAAGTCGTTCTAAACGTTTTTTTATAGAGAGAATATACATATTTTTATAGTCGAATGAAAAATTATTGATATACCTGGAACATATTTTTATTCGAGTCGAGTTTTCGAAATTTATGGCAGAAGAACGATCTTGACGACCAAAAATCGATGTAAAGTGAGAAAAATCGTTATGAAAGATGTTTTGTATCAAAACTTGAGATCAGGAAGTTCATTCTATGCAGCCGTTACGTTACGCAGATGCTTCGTATTTTTTTACCGGGGGGCTGAAAAAAAACCGGACGATTAAATGAATATGAGCTAAATGAAATTTGACCAATTTGAATATATGTATACCTAATGTTTATTTCCCCATTGTTATATACATTCTTGTGTGTTTATTTTATCATAGGTACAGCATATTATGTCAATTTCCTCCCCGAAAAAACTAGTTAATTCCACTGTACTGACATGAAATCTTATGGGACTATATGAAGTGCCTCAGGAAACTTGGACATGGTATACTAATCGTAAATAGCAAAAGTTGAAAATCGTATAAAGTCGATTCTGAGTTGAATTTTTGCAAAGTTCTTCTCAATAAAACAAGAATTTGTTTGATACAGTAATCACTGAGAGACATAAAATCATAAGGATCAATCTTAGTCTATACAATAATGATCTGTATATGGGTTTTAAGGAAATGACAGTTATTTTTGATTATTTAGTAGAGAAAGAAGGAAGGAGTCGAAAAATCATTGATAGGTAACATGAGTGATGTGAGTACGCCGACGCGACCTGGACAGTCGCACAGCACAGATTATTATTTTTTTTCCAATGAACATTTGTATACCGGGTGACAAAGGAGACATGAAACAGCCTGTAGTTTTTTTATTTGAGAGATTATTTGATCGGAGTTGACCCAACTTTTTTTTTCAAATGGACCCAGTACACTTCTGTAGACCATCTTATTTGCCATAATATTCTCTATTCAACTATGTACCACAATTTGATATTTGTTCATTAATTGGCTGTTAAATTGCATTTTATTACAATACATGAAGTTGGCTGTGGCCTGAATACAATGACATTTTGATGCTTGATAGGCGCAGAAATCCAAAGATCATTACTTAGACGATATTATCAGAATATTTTCCATACCCTAATCGGTCCCAGTAGATTGCCAATAATTTCATTGAGTTTAAAAATCATCCGAAAATAACTCACGATATTGAGAAAACTAAGATAGAAACTCGTTTTTTTTTCTTTTGGAAACTATTTGTCTTTCATTTTTGCCATGTAGCCATAATATGATCATCCATTTGATAATAGGATGATTTATTTGGATACAAGAAACTGAAATTGTTGTAATAATTATTGATGTATCGTTCTAATACATCTGTTCATAAGTCTACATTAGTGTATTTTCATTTATATATATCATATCATTCTGCTTAGTAGGCGGTTTAAACAAAATTTCTAGGTTGACAGTTATTCATTAGTTGCGTTTGTTTGGTATCAAACCGTTACCGGTTTCATCATTCCTGTTGTTTGATTGCACATCAAATTCCATTCCGGTTGTTACGTTTCAATCCATCAAATTAAACAGAATGATCGGAATGAAAATTGCAGTAATTGTCATAATTTGTCAAATTATTGATGCATGGGGATATTTTCATTGCAAACAAAAAAAAGATATATAATCTGAATGATAGAAAAAAAATAGTTCATATTAACATGGAGGCAATGGAGTAATTAATACAAACAGCTTCCGGGGAAATTTTATGGCTATATCCTCAAAGTGAGTTCAGAATAGAAATGACAAACTATGTTGGAGATCGCTCTGGGATATCTGAAACTTCTGAGCCCTTTGCAAGAAGGTACCCAGAGAAAGAAACGATGATCAACAAAAGGAAAAAGTTTTTCAGCGTGGTTCTCCCAAAGCTAAAATGTTAGAGTGGCTGAAAGATTGCAAAAAAGATGTAGAGAACAGAGAGAATGCAAGACTCTTGCTGGTTGAAAAACAACACCAGGAAAACAAGGAGATGATGGCAGAGATTTTGGAGATTCTCAAAGAAAATAATCCAGAGAAGGAGGAGAATCTGAAACTCAAATTCATTTATTATTCTTAGAGATTCAATTGTGTACCTGAAAGGAAATGGGCCCCCTTCGCTGGGATAAGTAGATCACTGCAAAATAGGTTGAGTATGCTTAGTGGAAAAATACGGATACCGTTACGAAAATTTTTCACTGAGCAAACCTAACTTATTTTGAAGTGTTCCTACCCTAGCAAAAGGGCCTCCTTTTTTGAAACACCCTCAATATGTTGTTATTTGCATGTAAAACAAATTCTAAAGGTTATTATTCAAAATCTTTATTTCTTCTGTGAAAATACATGTTTTAAAAACATATAGCTATCCCAATTATTCTGTTGTCTATGAGCCCACAAATCTTCAACTATATGAGTTCTTCTTATATCTGTCTGCTTCTTTTCTTTCAATCAATCACTGAATAAACTGACAAACATGGACTGACATATTCATCAACAATTGGCGTTTGTTTGGTGACCCATATATTCTACTACCGGATTGATACCAAACAAACGCAACTATTGTATTGCAATTTTCTGGGACCGATTAGGGTACGGAAAATATTTTAATAATATCGTCTAAGTAATGATCTTTGGATTTCTAAGCCTATCAAACATCGAATTGTCATTGTTTTCGGGCCACAGCCAACTTGATGTATTTTAATAAAATGCAATTTAACAGCCAATTAATGAACGAATATCAAATTGTGATACATAGTTGAATAGAGAATATTAAGGCAAATAAGATAGGCTACAGAAATGTACAGGGTGCCATTTGAAAAAAAAAAAGAGATAGGTCTACTTCCGATCAAACAGGTGGTTGAAGAAAATTGTCATTGGGTTCAAGAGAAGCGCCATCATCGATAATAAAAACTACAAACTGTTACATGTCTCCTATGTCACCCGGTTTATGAAGAAAATAATGTGTCATTTCACATCATCAAGCACATTTAGATAGGTACCTATCGATATGTATATATATATCCTTTCCTTTTTAATTATACATTTCTGATGGAAATCATGACGAAAAATCACTGAATCTGCGAGATCAATAATAATAAATGCAATATACGCAATTGAATTGATGATATCAACATATCGATTTGGACCTAATATGTACTTCCCAAGACGCCTGCGTCGTACGTCTTGAAAACGTATTGGCGTCCTACATCTTCAGGACATACAAATTAGAGTGTGGGACGTTCGGCTATGAATGGGATATAATATGGACATCCTCGGGACGTCCTGTGCTATCTGGCTTGGTATTCTTGAAAATTCTCCACGCATCCTCATGTATTGTCTTTTCATTTGTTTTTCATAGGTCAGTGATGTGACCTCAGGATCCAATCGTGCTCACAATCGTGATAATGACGTCACACTCACGAGTCGATTGGATTCCATAGCGACATAGATATACTACTAATATTAATTTTTGGACAAAAAATCGTATGTGATCAATGACATTCATCGACATTGAATCGATGAAAAAAATAAGATTTTTCTACCGCTAAAACACAAAATTGCTCTTGTTTTACTGTGTTCGATAAATCAATGAGGTACTTTTTATGTCGTCAATTTCATTTCTGTATCTGATATCACAATGACTTCATTGTGTTATTATTTCACAAAATCTCATCTCCCATTACATAAGAGAAATTCAGATGGCTACAAGCCGAAGAAATCGAATATTTTGCCTGTTATCTGTTGAAGCCGTTTGATTTGCAGCAATTTGCAAACTTCAGTGGAAAAAACTGCCATTTCGTGCTCGTTAAACATACTATTGTATTGATTATTCCATTTCAACTTGGGCGTAGAACCTGGAAAATGTATGTTTACTTCTGTTCTGATAGATTATTTTGAACATTGTGATCATACATTATCATATTGTTTTATAATTTGTATGTAATATTGTTACATCATGAAAAATAAGTTGATAGAGCAGCATGGTTGGTTTGTCAATTTATGAATCTTTATGAAATAAGTTACTTTTCAATCGAATTGCTCCACCTAAAATCCTCCTCATATTTAAAGACGTAGAGATCTGTACAGCAGAATATTTTCGAAGTTCATTTCAGATGTTTGTATGCCTCAGGCCCGATAAATATTTTTATTACTTGAGAGTCAGATTAGAGAGTTGGAAGTGTTGTCATGAACGTTAACGTAAACGTAGAAATTGACACCTACGCAAGCGCATTTTCCAATTCTTCACGTTTGCGTTGTTAGTGGGCTTACGGGTGTACGTTATCTCACGTTCCTTCACGTATACATTTAATATCAACGTACGTTAACCAAACGATACTCGAAATATGCCGATGAGTCAAAATTATCAAATTCGAGATCACCAACGAGTTCTGCATCAAGGAGTCCTCTAATTTTGACAGTAATAAATGTTCGAATCTAAACACACAACCAAAAATGACCAATACAAACCGAAAACAAAATGTATTATTACGTTATGATGACAGTGACGACCAAAGTGGCGACTTCAACTCAATTTAACGACAATACGTAAACGTTATTTCTCGTACGTTAACGTCTACGTGGAGGTCTACGTACAGTGATTACTTCAACTCTCTAATATCTAAGTGCTTCCTGCTTCAGAACAAAGGTTATTCCTAGATAGTTCAGCAAAGAACTAAAGACAAATTTGGCTTCAACATTTCACATGGAGTTGGATCATATTTTTAGTGCAAATAATCAGAAATTTCAAATTATAAAGAAAATTAGGACCATAAATAGCCCTTTGAATATGGGAAACTTGACTTGTGAAAATCCAAAATCAATTAGATCTGGCTTCAGCCCACACTAAAGTGGCTTGATGGGCAATTGGGCATGTCGTTTCTATATACTGCCTTTTGAGAAGGAAAAATGTATCTGTAAGAAAAAAAAACGCATCAGATTCAGTTTTTTTATTCAAAGTTATTGGGCGTTGAAACACTTCGGTATCATGAGTTGATTTGTTGATTGAAGTATTCGGAAGTGTCATGTTGACATGTAACCAACCATAATGCCCTTAGAAAAAAGTTAGGCTACTCACGACATCGAACTGGGAAACATGAGTAATGGGACCTGTCATATATCTTACTCACTCTAACTTATGTTTCTGAACACCAAGAGACATGTCTACACCTTTTTCAATTGTAATTTAGAAAGCGTCAAGTGTAATTCGGACAATATCACTATTTGTAATTCAGAATAGTTAAATCAAATTCAGAAAATATCAAATGTTATTCAGATTAGTCAAGTGAAATTCAGAAAGAGTCAATTGTAATTCAGATTAATCAATTGAAATTCAGAAAGCGTCAATTGAAATTCATAAAGCGGCAATTGAAATTTAGAAAGCGTCTTTTGTGATTCAGAAGGTTTCATTTGTAATTAAGAATGGGTCAATTGTAATTCAGACTACGTTATTTTAAATTCAGATTAGTCAATTGAAATTCAGAAAATATCACTCAATTCAGATTGGCCAATTAATATTCAGAAATAGTCCATTGAAATTTAGAAAGCTCCATTTGTAATTCAGAAATATGGAACAGTGTTACCTTTGTTTGTTGAGCCAAGCGTAATGAATGTAGGTAATTAATTACAAAGCGATATTTTTTCAGAGTTTTTGTATTATAACTTCTCCTTTTTACCTATTAAAATTGATTTCAATTGACCATCAATGAAAGTAATTCCATAATTCTGAAGTCGCTGGTCCTACATGAATATCTCTATAAATCCATAGGTCTGAATTACAATCGACACATTCTCAATTACAATTGATGATACCTGTATTTCAATTGATGCTTTCTGATTTCCATTTATC